GTGGTGGAACACGATGGCGACTATATTGATGATTCATGTTGATTGTTGGTGTCAGAGGATAAGAATATGTAGAAAAATGGAAAACCCAAAAAACATATGGGACACCCTGATACTATAATAACAATTACTTCCACTGAAAATCGCGTAAATTGATTGCATCTTGCTAGAGCGTCGAAACCAAGCCTTGATACTGCAGAAGGTATCCTTCTGCAGTATCAAGGCTTGGTTGTTGTATGTTTAGACCGATTGGTGTATGTATCCATTTCGAGAATCTTCTTTCGTATGGAAAATAGTAACTTGGTGATTATACAGTGATAAATAAATTATAATTGGGAGTGTTGCGATCCAGTCGATGGCTTCCGGTGTTGCATGATGTACCACCACGGAAGGAGTATTTCGAGAATGCAAATGAGAAATCACAGGCGACCCATCTTTTTTTTTTTCTTTTTTAATGAAAAAGCTGGAAAATCTTTGAATGTTGCTTCTAAATTTATAGAAACCTGTACCTTGATTGGGAACGTGAATATTCGTAAAATGTTTTGATGAGTTCTTTCCATAATCATTCCAACAGAATAATAAATTCCAGAATTCGAACGAAAGGAAACTTCAGGAAATGGAGTATATCATTAAGAGGAAGACCGACACAAGATGATCAAAAAGGAATATGGGATGTCTTTTTCGCCAACTACCACGTTTTAGTCCCTACTTCATACAGGATATTTAGACAAGCATGTGATAAGCCTACTCCTCCTCCTCCTCCTTTTTTTCTCTCTCTCTTTCTCTCTCCCTTCTTTGGAGGGAAGGACTGTATTTTCTTCTTCAAAGAAGAAAATACAGTCGAAATGTCTGCGGTTATTTGATTTTTTATTCATGCTTGTTGGGTGTGAAGTGCTTTTTTGTGTGTGTTGGGTGTGAAGTGACGTTTCCGGGAGGGTAAGGGAAAGGAACCTTGCGCCTACAAACGATTTTTTATACCCTCCTTTTTTTCTGTAATAGCCTTCAGCCTTTAGAGGTCTCATGCAACATGACCTTAACCATTCCTGTTTTTTTTGTTGTTGAATCATGAATACGCGCTCTTGAAACTTCCAGCTGGGTATGCTTGGAGTTAATTGACTTCGTTTCAACTGTGCCTTTGAGAACTGCTGAGAGGCACTTGGAAGAGAGTAGAAAATTACCTACGGTCTTGATGTGGGTAGGAGACACTGAGTGATCTGCCATTGTTGACAGCACTAAAAGCGAACATGGCGGAAGTGATAGAGGAATTCGCGAAAATGACAGTCGCTACCCGCTGTTGCGGTATTAATTTCCATTGATTTCGTCTGTATTATAAACTGTCTAAACCAGAGAACCACTGTGAATCCGCTTTACGCCTCTTAAACTTTCATTTGAGAGAATTTCTACTCCCGAAGGCAATCATGTGTATAAGAGAGGATGAGAGTAACCATTTGATCTAATACCATGCTTCTCGCAGTCAACATTTCATTACAACCCAGACAGGAATTCTGGCGCCGATTTCATTTCGCGAAATCATAATTTTTTTATAATTTCGCAAATTTTGATTTTCACGAACTGGACCATCCCTTTTGATTTGACCATTTGGGGGGGGGGGGGAATTCACTGACGATCATCAATTTCGCCCTTGATTGTGCCTCGCAAAATTCGCGAAGTTGAAGTAGGCGACGTTTCTCGCTGAACTTTTATTAAAGTTAGCTTCTTGCAGTTTCCCCAAATGACACCCCTGCTAATACCTTGTATGCATTAATGAATAACCTTCTCTCATGAATGGTCAAGGCATTCATTCGTATTAGAGAGCATTGAAAGTGAACAAATATTTTTCCATTTTGATGTTGTATTCATGTCTGAGAAATAACAGTATAAAGGCTTCGATAATTGACTAACTTTAACATACCAAACAAAATCATGAACATGTTTATTCTCCCTTACGTTATAGCCCAGTAAAAGCTTTTCATTGAATGACGCACCTTGAAACCTAAAGGCAAGAGTAGCCATCAAGCCAACTATTCCCGAATGAATTTGGTGATTTCATTCATTTGGTAAATGAAGTCACAGAGACAACCAACGGGTAGCCCCGACTGACTCACGTGGCTGGCGTTGAGGACGGACACTTCGTGCACGACACCTTCCTTGCTCCTCAAAATGTCATCTGCATCCGCATGCTTCTTTGACTTCCCTTGCCTGCCTCCCACCACCTGTAGGGATGCTTGTCGTGAGGTGATTGGACAAAGTCACCGAAATCGATGAATGCATTGAGGAAAAAGGACCAAACTTGAGATTTTAAGCTTAAGAAAAAGTGCTTCAAATTAGCACAAAAACTTTTGAATGTATGAAACCTTGGCTCTGGGCTGTATGAAAATATCGAGAAAGAGGAAAAAAAAACTCTACTTAAGTAATAACCTCACTTACCTCAATGCGCCCTTTAGGAGCAAGGACAGAGATGTCCTTTGCCATGTTGAGATTGACTTCCATTTCCACTATTATATCAACACCTGTATTGTCAGTAACCCTCAGGATCTCTTCATAATGTGACTCCTTCCTGAAGAAATCCAATCATCAAATCCTGTGTTGAAGTAGGTCAGGGTACCCAACATGTTTTTCTCAAGCTACATGCAAGCTCGCCCTCTGAACACAGCTTGTTTTCAATTTGAACTGGTTTTTAAATCACTCTGAAAGTCACTTCTGGTTAAATCATAAAAAAAAATAAAAAATGATGAAAAGGGAACAAATTTTTAAATAAAACTCATGACACTCTCATGCTCATACTGCCAAAGCTAGCCTGGCATGTTTGCATGTTGATATTGATGCATTTCAGTGCTGAATCCTAACAAGTGGTGAGGCTCGTCCAAGGCAGCAACATCTACGCCTGTGATTCCCACTGCTCTCTAAATGGGGAACCCCTAACGTACATGCATACTTTTACGATGCAACTGGGTCAATTCATCGTGACTCATGTTACAAATGCACAAAATTGTCAGAAGTTAATTCCATCCTGCCTTCTGAATTTTCAATTTCAGGTCGTCCCTTATGGCGATTGCAGGCATTGTGCTTTTGTTGGATATAATGCAAATAATTTAAAGTTCATCTGAGTGCGAGAAAATGGGGGGGGGAAAAGTTTTCGTTACTCATATTACAATGAAAGGACACGATTTCCTAGTAGAGATCTTCCGTAAATTAGTCCTGCTCTTCTTTTAATTGGATTTAGACAGTACTTCGCTGTCATTCAGGTAAAAGATGAGGGACATACTATGATAAGTAACTCCGTGTTTTGAAATGCTTATAACTCTTTTCTTTTCTTAAATGAAATTTAATGAAATAAACTGTGAATTATACACCAGTTAGTGAGGTTTTTATGCGGTCACACTTCCACGTATGCTCCTGCATTGTCAACACATTTCCTTAACACATTCGAGACTGCAGCACGGGCGGTGTCACATAGTAGAGAGGACCGCGTCCGTGCTATGGCCCGGCTTATATATGGATTTAATCAGTCATATGTGATGAATTTATTTCAACAGACAAAAATGATCCATATCACCATACTTTCCACTGTTTTTTTTATTTTTAGTACTGAACAATTACTGGTTTTCTGGGCCCTCACAGTGCAAAATCAGCTGGTCTCGAATGCATTTAGCGAACAACTAACATGCGTCGAGGTATGTTAAGAGCATTGTTGATTCTTTCTTCCAGTTAATTAAGATTTTCGGAGTTTGGTACGATGAACATTTTTTTAGCCCAGCCCCGCAGAAAAAAGTCGCAAGGTGTTAAGTCAGGTCTGCGAACTGACTCCACTTGGAACGACGGTCAATTTTTATTCCGACGACCTAGATACATGAAACCTACAGAAAACAAATTTTGCTGATTAACGAACTGGAAGAAAGAATCAACAATGTTCTTAATGTACCTCGACACATGTTACGATCACCAGTGGGAAACATACCTGTTGGCTTAAGGAAATGTGTTGACAATGCAGGAGCATACGTGGAAGTGTGAAGTGTGGACGAATAAAAACCTCACTAACTGATAATTGAATTGTATTGAAACAAACTATGAATTGTACGAATTCAGCTTGTGTCATTAAATTTCACTTTTATAAAATGAAGGATTTAAAAAGCATTTCAAAATAGGGAGTTACTTATCATACACCTAGTATATCATAGCATATAAACTCTAAAATATATTGATAGTTTTTTTTAACTAGGTAATTTCTTCGTGACTCACGTTACAGAGAAAGCGACTCATGTTACAGAGTATTCAAGAAACTGGAATGGCCAGCGTTTCTTCATTCATTTTTATATTATTCATCATAATAACAATGGCAACGAAAAGAACAGGCATCAACTTTATTATAAACATAAGACTATTAATTTGGCTCAGAAAATGTCATGGGACATTCTACGTGAAAAGGGACAAAAGTACCAGCATTTCAAAACGAATGGGCAATCCAACAGTTGATGTCGCCATGAAGAGTGCATCTGAACGCATATAATTTGTGCAAATTTTTAATTTGAGGAATCCAATTCGGCCATACGTAGTCTGTCCAATGAATACGCGAACTTTGCTACTAGGGTGGCCTTGAGGTGCTGTTTAGACATGCGCCCAGGCCGCTCTGTTGGCAAGGGACCCACTGGAGCGTCAGTAACTGTCAGACCGTCGAGGGAAGTGTACAGTTAGAGGCGGAATTTTTTTGTGGCGCCCTTTTTTTGCTCTTTTCAACGATGGAGATTGATGAACAGATGGAACGACTCAACATCAAATTTTTGGTGAAACTTGGGAAAAACTCAGGAAATTCATGAAATGTTGAGGGCTGTTTATGGAGATAACGCACTGAAGAAAACAGCTCTTTTCAAGTGGATTAAGCGTTTCAGTGAGGGCCGTGAAGACTGCAAGGATGATGCAAGGCCAGGACGACTGTCGACCTCCAATGTTGATGAAAACATCGAACGTGTGCGGTCTCTTGTGCTTTCCGATCGCCGATTTACTGTACGGATGATTGTTGATGAACTGAATTGTGGAAAATCGTCTGTGCACACGATTCTAACAAAACATTTGGGGTTGAGAAAATTGTGTGCAAAAATCGTCCCAAAGTTGCTGACACCTGACCAAAAGCTGAGAAGGACCGAATGCTGCACCGAATGGAAAAACTCCACTCAAACTTCTGGTTTCCTTGAAAGGGTCATCACTGGTGACGAATCATGGTTCTATGAGTACGACATCGAGCTGAAATCACAAAGCAAGGAATGGAAAGCAAAAGGTGAACCATGAACGAAAAAATGTCGAAAAAGCCGATCAAAAATCAAGGTCATGCTGCTCGTTTTTTTTGACATCCATGGTGTTGTCCACCATGAATTTCTTCCTGAAAAACAAACAGTGAATGCTGCCTTCTACGTGGAGGTTCTCAAGCGCTTGAGGGATCGTGTGCGTCGTGTGCGACCAAATTTGTGCGATGCTGATGGATGGCTGCTGCATCACGACAATGCGCCTGCACATTCAGCAGTGATTGTCTGCGAGTTTCTGGCGCGTAATTCGATCACCACGCTAGATCACCCTCCCTACTCACCAGACTTAGCCCCCTGCGATTTCTTTTTGTTCCCGAAATGCAAAAAGGTCATGCGGGGGCAGCACTGGGACAATGTGGAGACGATAAAATGTAAAACGACGAGGCAGCTGAAGAGCTTGACTTCTGAGGACTTCCAGGGATGTTTTGAACAATGGAAACGGAGATGGAACAAGTGTATTGCTACAAATGGGGAGTATTTTGAAGGGGATAAGATTGATGTACCCTAAATTTTATAAAATAAAGTTTTTATGACCTCAGTTCGCGTATTTATTGGACAGACTACGTATGTAATCATGGCTGCAATGTCAAGCCCTTTAGCATGGTTTCATTTGTACTGTTGTCTCTTTTGTGGACAAAATCTTAGGACATCTTTGACTTCAAGAAGTATGCTTTCTTCAATATGTACATGAGAGGGTCAATGGGTAGGAGTGGGACTCAACCACCTGCAAAATTGCCAACATCACATAAGTCTCATCTTTTTGCTGTTGATGACAATGCAATTCATATGCAATGCTTCAACACTGAAGATCTAGCCCCCCCACCCAGCCCTCACTAATACCCAAAAGGGAAGAACACAATCTGAAGATGTCACATCAGAATACACCCCATTTCCCTTTCTTACAATGTTGGAAGTAAGGGAGCAGCTAGCAACACTCAAGGCATTAAAATCTCCTGGAATCAATGAGACACTCCCAAGCACTTTGAAAGTTTGTAGTATAGAGTTAGCAGACCCACTAAGTGAGATGTATACAAGTGGGGGTACATACCAAAAATCTGGAAGCACACAAAATACAGGGTGGGCCAGAAGTAAGGAAACACGTTCAAACGGCTTTCGCTTTGATATTAGAAAAGATATTATTTCATCTCTACTCCTAATACATATTTGACCCTCTTTCTAGGTTAACAGAACCATGGCTGACAGCTCTCGGTTATCAATCCCTGAAAGAATTCAAATTGTAAAGTGGTACTCCATTTTCCAGAATGCTGCTGAAGTTGCTTGTCAATTCAAGAAGCATTATGGCCAAATTCCTCCAATACGAAAGAACATTTTGAACCTCATACAGAAGTTCGACGAAACTGGAAGTGTCCACGATGCACCCAGGGCCAATCGACCAAGATCTGTTAGAAATGATGAGAACAAAGAATGCGTTCTTGTTGCTCTTCAAAGAAGTCCCAAAAAATCATCAAGAAGAGCTTCTCTGGAGCTGAATCTGGCTAGGACCAGTGTTCAACGAATGATTAAGGATCTTGGATTGAAGCGCTATCACCCTCAATTACTTCATGCATTGAGCGATGATGATCCTGATCATCGCTATGAATTTACCTAAATCTTCCTGGACTTGGTCGCTGAAAATCCTTCTTTACTGGACAGAATTGTTTGGACTGATGAAGCCATTTTCAAACTGAATGGGCATGTTAATCGGCACAATTGCGTTTATTATGCTGTTGAGAATCCCCATGTCGTGATCACACAAGAGTTGAATGCCCCTGGCATTAGTGTATGGGCTGGAATTTTGTCAGGTGGCATCATCAGACCGTTCTTCTTTTGTGACACCGTCACTGCAGATGGCTATCTGGAAAAGCTGAGTGAAGAAATCATTCCTACCATGGCATCTAAATGAATTTGGAGCAAATCTTCTTTATGCAAGATGGGGCTCCGGCCCAATATGCTTGCTACGTTCATGACTTCTTGGACAAAAAGTTTCCTGGTCGGTGGAATGGGTGGCGTGGGCCTATTGATTGGCCAGCGCAGTCTCCGGATTTGACCCCAGTTGACTTCTTTTTATGGGGTTCAATCAAAGACATTGTTTATGCAATGAAACCTCAGACACTTCCAGCACTCAAGGAGACACTTCCAGCACTCAAGAAAGCAATAGTTGCTGCTATGCAGAACTTGCCAGTGGAGTTATGCCAACATGTTTGCTGATCGGTCCCAGAAAGATTGCAGTTGTGCAAAAACATGAATGGTGGACACATTGAGCAATTTTTGTGAAACGACTTTATATATATAAATACTTTGTGAACTTGTGCTTTCACACATACTGCTTTCTATTTCTATTGCTTTTCAGAAGAAGTCTTGTTGATGTTCAAATGTGTTTCCTTACTTCTGGCCCACCCTGTAGTTATGCTTCTCAAAAAGAAGACAATATCATCACCAAAGGATTTGAGACCCCTCTCCATCACATCTGCATTGCTCAAACTACTGAAAAAATAGGTGGAAATCTGCACAAAGGAAAGACTTCAAAACTGGATTAGATTGCTATCAGTATGTCTATATGAGACAACCATCAACACCTTCAGCAATTCTAAGCTTGGTTGACTTCACTCTATGCTCAGCTGACAAATCCAAAGCAAGAGTTTGCATGACTTTTGACTTCATCAGTGTGCAATACACTGAACCAAAATCCGATTATCCAAGAAATATCTAGACTGGACATCAGACAGCAGAACCTCCTATAGATAGGAAACTTCCTTCAAGATCAGAAGAACACTCTGGCATACAGGAAAGAACAGTATCAGGTCAACATCATGATAGGCATTCTGCAAGGGTCCATCGTAGGATCCCTCACATTCATATATTGCACAAATGCAATAAGAAGCACTTGTGACAGTTTTCTCCTAAAATATGTGGATGACACAGCTGGTGCTGCCTCCATCTCAAATGTCAATGAACTAGCAAGATACAAGGAAGTTGTCAGTGCCATTGGCACTATTGCCAAGCAATGAGGATTCCTGTTGCCAAAACATAAGAACTCATAATTGACTTCTGAATACTATTTCCCAAGCAGGATAACCTGACTTATGTAAATTGATGGATGTCAAGCAATCTAAGGCAGTGGTAGTGGTAGCATTTAACTAATCTAAGTGGTAGCATTTAACTAATCTAAGTGGTAGCATTTAACTAATCTAAGTGGTAGCATTTAACCCTATGCTTCATAAATGCGTTTTGAAACACATAATAGATTTAAGCATCTGCCATGCAATGGATGATGCCATTGCCCCTCCAGCACATCACAGGTGCTGGCATGGGTGTGATGCACTGGAAAAGTGGCAGTGCTGTCCACTGCACAGCAGATGCTCAAAACTTTTGTGTTTCAAAACATATCTGTGACACATGGGGTTAATACCTTGGGATCCAAATCCAGGTAAACTTAAATAGGACCAACAGGTGATCAAGATGGTCTCCTCTCTCAAGAAGAGTTACCATGCCCTGAAACAAGCAGGTGCATTTAAAACACACCTCATCAGAGCATACCATATAGCTCCTTTTGCCCATGGGCTGAGTACTCTAGCTTGGTATGGCAACCAGGTCTTCCAATATCTCTCACAGATCAGCTGCAGAAAGCTTCCACATCTGCCATGGGTTCTCATGCATTTGTAAAGAATGGACATGTCTGAGTCAATGCCATCACAGACAACTCCTATACATTGCCAACTTGCAAACATACAGTGGTGTGCCTAAGACCAGAACTGAGAGATATTGAAGAAGGAGAAATCCAAGCATGCAATGCACCCTTTGGGACAAATTGGGATGCTGCAAGACTACAGAACTTTCAAAGACCTCTTGGATCTGTGCCAGCATGAGACATATTTGAGCTTGACATTCACTTCAGTTTTATTTTTTTTCCTTCTTATTTGCTCCACTTCTCCCCTCTCTTGCTTCCTCCCTCTCTCCTTCAACCCTTTGTCGACGACAAAGGGTTTTTTGTGAATGATGTCCACTGTAGTGGATAGAAATGATTTTGACTATGATGATCGCTTTTCAGTCAGTACACATGTCTCAAAACCTTTGGTGCATGCAGTCCACTCCAGGGCACCAAATCTATTCAGTATTGCCTTCTAGCAGCAGAACATGTGTCTACTATGGCTGAGTACCACCTTAAACATTAAACCAAAAATAGCAAATTTTTTATTTTCCTTTAAAAATTCAGGCATGAAAGTGTTAACAATTTCTTCATGATTGTCTCATTACCTTTTTTTAATACTACTTACTTCTCTTGTATTATTTTGAATGTCAGGGCACCTCCATAATTCTGTAGAGGAAAATGAACAACCAGTACCATCTTCCAGAAACATGACATGTGTTACAGTTAGAGTTTTTAAAACCATTTGTTGCAAGCTACCAAACAAGGCATATTATTTACAAATAACATGGTAACTGGGGAAAGAGAAGATACCTTAAGGAATATCAGAATGACTGCTTAGCAGCCTTCATCATCAAACTATTGGATATTTCCAAAATGTCACATCAATGTATTAAAAAAAGAAGTTAATATGGAAAGGAGTAAGCTCACGGGTCAGTGAGACAGGAGATAGAGAAGACTGGAGGTTGCCCTGTGGGTAGAGGAGAGTCTCCAGCACGGGGAACCATAGTTGCTCCTTGTCCTTGGGCTTGAGATGGGCAGAACTACGCTGACATAGCTGGACCAGCACCACAACCATGCCTTCCAATTGACTGAAGAACAGATCACAATCTCCTCCTGCTTCCTTATCATGATCTGACAGCTGCAACAGGGTTATCCTTAGAGTCAGGACCAATCCTCACCATTTATACTTCATACATAACCAAATGTCCAAAGAGTAATTCCTTTGAACTGAGTTAGGAATACTTTATATATCCAGAAATGCATTTTTTCCTCAAATTATAAATGGATTACAAAAGTATTAAGCAGGGTGATCAGCCTAAATCTGACACATTTTATTCTTAAAAAACCTGTAACTAATAAAAATTTGAATTATTTTCAAGAATATAAATATACAGGGTGACAGAAACATTGAAGTAATATAAATGCTTTGTCTTTTTTAAATTTATGCTTCAAAAACAGTGTGATTTAGCTCAAATACTATTTAAGGTCTTACAATTCAAGTGCAACATGTTACAACTAGTGTCTTTGAAATGATCTCTGTGAAACGCAACACAGGAAAATGAGCATTTTTTTAAAGTTCTTGACAGTCACTTCACAAAATGCTGAGGTTATTCTGGCTACTTCTGCAACAATGTTTTCTTCAAGTTCCTGTAATCTGTGAGGCATACTTTGTTACAACTTTTCTTTCAAAAGGCCCCATAAAAAGTAATTTGGTACAGTTAGATATGGAGATATTGTGAGCTATAAAATGTCACCATATTGAGAGATGATGTGACCATTGAAGTCTTGTCACAGGCAACTCGTAGCCAGAATAACCTCAGCATTTTGCAAAGTGACTGTCAATAACTTTGAAAAACATTCACTTTCCTGTGTTGCATCTCAGAGACCAATTCAGACACTATCTTCAAAACCTAGGATGTAACCAAGTTGCACTTGAATTGTAAGACCTTAAATAGCATAAGTGCAAAATCACAACGTTTTTGGAGCATAAATAAAAAAATGACAAAGCATTTACATTGTTTCAATGTTTCTGTGTCATCCTGTACTTCATTTGAAGCTTTTCTAGATCTACTTATGAAAGATAATTGTTGGCAGATGACCTCCATTATTTGTAATACAATCAGAACCCATTTCATCATGTTCTGCATCACTCAGTATAGGTCACTCAATTTTTCTGATTTTCTCACAAATGTTTGCCTTCAAATCATGCAGGGTATGAGTATTGTTTCTGTAGATTTGTGACTTCATGTACTCCTGCAAGAAAAAATCTGGGGTGTTCAGATCAGGAGACCCAGGAGGCCAGTTGGCATCACCTAAAGTGAGATCACTTTGCCAGAGAACACTTGCTTCAGGAACCTTAGCATCGCATAAGCAGTGTGGTAGGTCGTACCATCCTGTTGAAACCACACTGTATCAGTCAGTATACCACAGGCACAGAGAGCTCAGGAATGAAGAAATTCAAGAGCATGCAATGGTAACAATCACCATTGACAGTGACAAAGTTTCCTTCATTGTCTCCAAAAAAGAATGGGCATATGATACATTAGAAAGATAAAGAACACCACATGGTGACCTTCTGGCTATGCATCAAAACACAGTGCCTCTCTTGTGGGCCTTCAGGTGCCCATAATTGTCTATTACTTTTATTCACATAGCTAAACAAATGAAAATGGACCTCATCTGTCATCAAGATGCTGACCAGCAATGTGTTATCTGAATTGATGTTATGCAGTAAGCAGTTTCACAGCTTAAGATGCTTCCTTTTGTTGCCATCTCAGAGCTTCTGATTCACCTGCATTTTTTAGAGGTACAGATGAAGATCACCTTTGACACATTTTTGTGCTCTGTCACAGCTGAGCCACAGTCTGTCAAGCCAATCTGGCTTGACAGACTGCAAAGTAACTTTTAAGTGGCCTTTGCTCCAGTAACTCCACACTTGCCTGAACTGTTTTGGGCATGCCTACACTGGAGTTGTGAATACACTTCTTGCCATGAAAATCACCATTCTTATGAAATTTCTATACATACAACAAAATGGTGTTCTGACTGAGCCACATTGTTGCTTGATATCACACTGAGCCTGGGTCACACTCTTAATAGCAAAGTAAAACTACAATTGATGAGCAGTGTCAAATATGCCAATGCACCATCATGAACAAAACTCCAGTGCTGTTACTTTATAACTGATAAAAGACAGATGATTTGTGATCATGCCGTGGCAGAATATTTGAATTTGAATTTGAAGAATGTGTCAGATTTAAGCTGATCGCTGCATATAATCACATTAAATCCTCCCATATCTACATTCAAATCTACTGACATGATTCAATAGTACATGAAAAATGTAATTATTGACTATTACTGAGAATACAGGGTAGGTGAGGGGGTTGGTATATACGAGGTCTGACAATAAAATAAGACTGACAACACTGTAATGCGTGTGGCAACAATGGGTTACTGGTGATTGCTGTAACCTGTCAGTGCATGTCTTAAGTCTGTGCAGTAATAAACTTGTTGTGATACTTCTAGTGATTGCTGAGCAGTACCACTTTACCTATAGTAGTGTTAGGGGCACTTGTAAAAAAAAAATGGGTGATAATATCATGAACAAAGAATCAAAGTGAAATTTCTAATCATATTTGGGAAAAAACCAGCTGAAGTCTTTGAAATGTTGAAACAAGTGTACAGAGATGAGGTTATGTCGAGAGTAAAATGTCTTTGAATGGTGTAAATGCTTTAATGAAAGAAGGGAAGAAGTTGAGTTTGACAGATGACCTGGACTTCCAACAACTTCAAAATCGGATGAAAACATTGAAAATGTGAGAACTCTGGTGTGATCATTGTCTTATTGTCAGAATGATTGCCGAAGAACTGCGTATCAATAGAGAGACAGTATGATTGATTTTAACAGAAAGTTAATATTTCAAAGACATTCAGTTGGTTTGTTCCCGAGTTTGATTAGAAATTTCACGCTGATTTTTTGTTCATAATATTATCACCCATTTTTTTTACAAGTGCCCCTAACACTTCTTTAGGTAAAGTGGTACTGCTTGGCAATCACAAGAAGTATCACGACAAGTTTGCTACTGCACAGACTTAAGACATGCACTGACAGGTTACAGCAATTGCCAGTAGCAACTGCCAGTAACCCAGTGTTGCCACACGCATTACAGTGTTGTCAGTCTCGTTATTTTATTGTCAGACCTCGTAGAGTTTGACTACTGTGGCTGAGAACCAGGGGTCCAACCCAACCAAGACTGGTTGGTATTTATTTCCAAGTGCAAGCCTCAACATGCTTGGGGAAAGAGACCCTGGAACACAAAGCACTTCTGTTTCAAGATGTGGAACATTGAAGATACCTAGCAGTGAAGGTCAAACCCAAGTAATGTATTCCTGGAGCAGCTGCACAGGCCAAATTGAGTCTCACAAGGTTACTTGTGTCAGCTGACATAACAGGGAGGAGAGTTTAGATAGGAGGGAGGGTTAGCTAGTGTTCCAGAGTATGGGTGCTGTTATGGGCCTAAATTCTCTTGTGCCTGGTACCTTATTATATCATATTATAATAAACATCAGTGGAAGCCATGATAAAGGTAAATATTAATAACAGTTCTCTGAGTCAAGTGCACAATAATTGGTGGCACTCCGGATTGAAGACACATCCGGAAATTTCCCTATGAACATGAAACTTTCAAATAGGCATTGCGTTGTGGGGAATCTAATGGTGGTCTATTTTAAAAATCGACTCAGAACTTCAAGAGATATAGTGATCGTTCTCAGGGATAAAAAAGCAGAAAGTTCTACAACACAGTGGATTTGGTCATGGCTTTTACAGTAAGTGTGATGACAAAGTTCGCCTTTGTTGCTGGACCTCCTCCTGCTCGGCATCTCTGATTGTTTAGAGAGTGAACAGTCAACAAAGTAGAGAACACATCACACTCTATTTCAGTGACTGTGAGGGTTTTGGTACACTTGACTCAGAGAATGATTGTGAAATTCTTTTCATTAAAAAGTTTTTGAAATTTTAAAATGGACTTTTAGAATAAATTTGAAAAACATAATAACATAATAAAAAAGCAATCTAATGTATCCAATATACATTATCTAATGTAACCATAGGTAAGTACAATGTAAGTATCTAATGTAACCATAAGAGGTGACACAATGGTCTCATCAGGGACCTGTGAAATTCATTAAAAAAAAATTTTTTTTAAATTCTTCATTTTTTGCATTCCAACCCAGCCATCCAGGATGAACCCAATTGGGTTCAATGAATGGCTTTATTGTCACTATTTGCTTCTTTTTTTCTTCTTTTTTACCTCTCTCTCTCTCTTTTATTTATTTATTTATTTATTTATGCATTGTCTTTCATTTTTGTCATTGTCTTTACCTTCATCTTTGTTCCTTATCTGCAAATATGTGGAAATATATTCTATTCTATTCTATTCTATTTGCCAAAGTAGAACAGAAATGCAATACCTCATTGAGCTTGGCTCTCAGCCGGTCTTGAAGAAGATTAACAGCTCCTTGCATATCTCCAGACTTCTCAAGCAAGAATGCTACAGCCTCCACGTTGTTATGGCGCTGGCAAATCTATAAAATCAGATGACATCTCGCAATTAACACAGACAAAAGAGAAGTGCTGAAAGTACAAACAGTATGATGCAGAATTCACCTCCAGGATGGATTCCAAGTGGTAGCCTTCATGGTTTTTTAAGTATGAAGAGACCTGCATGGGTTGGAATCGACAAAGGAGGTCCAGGTATGTCTCATATAAGGAAGGATGGGTCTCCAATTCCTCCATGATGCTTTCACTCCTTCCAGCCACTTTTTGTGGTGTATTTTGTGCCTGAAGATCTCTGAGAGGTGTGAAAAAGGAAAAAGAAAAATCAGACAATGCCTTATATGCAGCAATACCAGAGAATATTGGATGGGTGATATTTTCTATTGAGAGATCACATAGCAATTAGTAGCCTGATTATGCCAATATTATAAGTTCTAAGCTTACAACAAATTGATGACATCCAACAGAGTAGATATAGGGTAGAGGCACGAGTTTGTGGATGGGTGCCTATTTGTGGACAGTTTTGTGTTTTTTGCCATTTTACAAAATTCACACTGAAAATGTATTTCCTCAAATGCTCCATATTTTGAACTTGCTTGTCAACCACCATATTAATTATGCACACCCACCAGCATGAGTGAACTTGGACATTTTTGCTCAATTTTAGACCTGGCACCCCTGAATTCCTTAATTTTTCCAATGATATTTCTAAACAGGACATCATTGAAGATAAATATAATTGCTGTACATGTCTCAAGTGCATATTTTTCTATTCAACCTATGCACATTCATAATTGCTGACAAAAACTGATGTCCGCAAACTATGTCAATGGATGTCCACAAACTGGAACCAGGCCATCCACAAATAGGAACCACATGAATATCAACACATATCCATTTAAACAGCGATTGTTGGAAAAGTATGTTTTTAATATTTTATTTTAGGGTATGGGCATCAAACTATGATAAGAGGCAAATGACCAAATCTTCAACCTTAGTATCATTATTTAAAAGGCTCAAGAGTTCCAACTACAACTTTTTCTGTGCTTCAATGACTACTCAAAAGTCTTTGACAGAGTCATTCATGGGAAACTCTTAAACAACACTACTTGATATGGGTTTCTCAAAGTATGACATCAAACTTTTAAGAAACCACTACAACAATCATGAGGTAGATGTCAGAATAGCTGATTATCTCTCTCAGAAAGGTTCAGCATTTAGAAAAGTAAGAGACAGGGCTGCATCACCAAGCCTGTTCAACCCATATAAAGAGAGGATCATGAGAGAATCTGTTGAGGAAACCTCAGTAGGAGTTGGAATGGAGGAAGAAACAATCTTATAAATGCATATGATATGGTCTCAATATATGATGACTGAGAGGAGTCTCAGAGCTTGAGGACAGTGTGACATGCAAGTCAGGATAAGGCTTACAGCTGAATGCAAAGACCAAGGTAATGAAAATCAATAAAGATCATACTGATATCATCATTACTGCTGATGCCCAAGTCCTAGAACAAATTAACTCCTTCAGCTACCTCAGCCCAGTCATCTATGAAGATGCAAAATGCAGCAATGAGATCAGAAGGATCAGAATTGCAAAAACAACTCCCCAAAACCTAACAGTGATATGGAAGAGCATAGCAATCAGAAAAGATACGCACCTAAAACTGCTACTAGTATAGCCAATAGACACCTATGAGGCTGTGAGGCATTGAGCATGAAGGATCAAAGGTCATTAAAAGGCAGGAGAATTTTGAGACGTGGTAATTCAGGCAAAATCTTCAGAATTTCTTCAGAATATCAGGGAAAGATCAAAAGACCAACTACTGAGTGCTTCAGGAGCTTGGTGTTAAGAAAAGCATATTAGTGCATGTCAAAATCAGAAAACTGAAATATTGAGGACACACCAGCAGGCAAACCAACAGCATGGAAAACATTGTTCTGCAGGGGGTTTTCCTGAGAAAAAGGGGTAGAGGATGGCTTAGAAGGCACTAGGTAGGTGACATCAAAGGCTGGATGGGCCTCACCCTGGTGGAGGCCATCAGGAAAGCTGCTGACAGGGTAGCTTAGTGCAAGTTGGTTCATTGTGCCAACTAACCTCAGAACTACTTAGAGTCAGGGTACTTAGACAACTCAGGATATGCATTTAAATGATACATAGAAAGTGCCTGTGAAACAAGGCTCAGACCTGATTTGGAACACCTCTTGAAGGACAGCAAACAGGGCCTCAGGAGACTCCTGTAGATTCTCTACAACTGGGACCAGGAGATGGGGGAAAATCTTTGCAATCAGCTGTGCTGTCTTGGTCCCACTGATTTTTACCAGATCCTAGAAGAAAAAAACTCCCTCAGAATGAAGAGCAAGTTTGTAGTCACTCTAAATGGAAAATGCAAAGGTGTGAAAGAAGACCTGAATGGCTGTGAGGGTCTGGTGGGCCATGCGCTTCTCCACCTCATCTTGTCCTGTGGTCCTGGCTCTCTGTACCACTTGCATGATATAGGAAAATGTCTGTGTCTCTCGTGCTGGGTCCCGCAGGTAGCAGGACAGGATCTTGTCATAGTCCTCACGCTGTTCATACAGCACCTCACACACTCGAAAACTATGATAGAGCATTTAAGAAAATAGCAATGAGATGACCAATTGTATTGATTCAGAATTGCATGGGTTGTTGAGACAAACTCTCAGTTATGCACCATGCACTGATTTCTACACTCTTTACCAAAAAAAAAAAAGCACCACCTAGGAGTTGAGTGATCTTGGTGAAATTTGGTCCACAAGCTCATAGAAATAGTGCATCATGGAGTCAGAGTTTTCAGAGCATAGGATGAATATTCAGCAATATCTTGCCAAACACTCCAATTAAAATAGAGGCAAGAGCATCACATGAATCACCCAAAATGGTCACCAAAAGAATATTATTAATGAAACATGGAATGGGCACTCTAATAGATGTGTAGGATGCATGTAGTAGCCTGATGTCCTCAATAAGTCCACATCAACCAAATGCTCAAACATCTTGCTGAAATTGATTTTAGAGACTTCATCTTGTCATAGCTTTGCCTTTTGGACACTTAACAATAACCTCATAGTAAAGGAGCTTGAGGAGGGAAAAAAAAAAATAGAAACTCACATTATCAATGGCACCACTCTCTTCCATTCCTCTGCAAAGTTTTCTCTGCATTACCTTATCCAAAGACCAAGCAAGGAGCTTCAAAACTGAAACCTACACTCCTGTATGAGTTTTCATTCCAGTTTTAATTAATGAAATCCTTTTGGGTGACAGTTTTTGATGATTAGTATGACCCCTTCACCCCAATTAATTTTGGAGTGTTTGGCATTCTTAGAATACTTATCGTATATCTTTGAAACTCAAATTAACTTCATTACACTACTATGAGCTTGTGCAACAAATTACATCTACTCCTTCTAGGGGGCACTCTCTTTTTGGCAATGAATGTTGTAGGTCACAAATCACAATATACAATCCAAAAATTTTTCAGTTCCATATACTGGCAGGTCAATGGAGTCAGCTACAGAGGAACATGGAATCCTTTGAACATGAAAATCTACTAAATGCAAGCTTCCAGTTATCAATTTACACTCAACTTTTTTTTTTCCCCCCATGATAGAAATTGGAAAGAAGAATCAACTCTTTGAATTCTCATACTGCACAGAAAATGGAGGAAAGAGGAGCCAGGGAGTTGTGAAGTTGAAAGGACTTACAATCGAGCCTTTTCTACGAGAGCAAGGAGTCGATTGGAGTTGTAGTGAGTGAGCCCACCAGCAAGAATGAGTTCAAGGAGTGCCTGCTGCCTCTCCTCATGCTCCCTACTTCCCTCACCAGATGGAGGAGGAGAGGTCAGGTGCTCAAGGACCTGGTCAAACAGATCACGGGACACTGTCACCCCAATGCCTCCCATGCCCCTTGGGCGACTCAGCTCTCGTGCCAGGAACACAAACAGGGTACCCACTTGACTCGCCTGAATAGATGTGAACAAACACTGCCTTGACAGAATTCAATCACTTGCATTGCACATCATCAATGGAAAAGACATAAATAGGTTGGCCAAAAAAGGATGGGGTAGTTTTAAATGCCTATATTTATTGATGTATTGCACTGACATTAATGAATTTGGTTTCAAAGAACACATAACAGTTGGGAGTTTATTATCAGTTAGTGATGCCCCCAAGTAGGAAATTCTGTAAGCAGCTGTAAACAAGATGGCATACTCTACTGAGCAGCATATGTTTTGTAAGAAAAGGTTTGAATCCCTGTGGTTATTTCTTATGGGGATTCCTGAAGGACAATGTCAACAGGAATAATCCACATATGGTTGAAGAATTGAAGGCAGAAATCACAGCTGTTGTGGAGAGCATCACTGAAGAAACACAGGCTGCATTTATGGAAAATTTCAGTCGACATGTGCAAATGGTATTGGATGCACAGGGATCACATATTGAATATGTTTTTAAGTGAATCAAATCTCCCATGCTTCATTAGTGTTGCAATATCAGAACCAGTGCTGTAAGTGCAATACATCAATAAATATAGGCATTTAAAACTACCGTGTCTTTTTTTGATGACTCTGTAGCAAGCCTACATTATTCCTAATCTAAGTAACTTAGGGCATCTACTGTACTCCCTTAGGTACAAAAAAAAAACATACAAGAAATGAATGAGAATGAAGGACTCTATTAGTTGAGCTAAACCTTAACAAAAAATTATTGAAATCTTGGGGCATCAATTGATGTCAATCCAATTTCCCAAAACCATGACCTTTGGGTCATAAATGTATAATAACTTGTACAAGGAAGTGAAAAAGTGTTTGACATGAAAATGAAAAACACTGTAAATGCGCACTGTCTGCTTGGACAAGTGAAACCAAAGTGAAAATTCCTCATTTTCATACAGTGTAAAAGGATTGGAATAATTCCTGATGTTCAGGACTTCGCATTTGCCAATCTCCTTCTGTAATCTCAGCTAGTTTGAGTTCCACAAAAGACACCATGACAGTATACAGGCTAGCACAATCACAGCATGACATGTTGTCCTCCCACAATAGGCTTCTCATCTACAAGGGAACAACTTCGCACCACTCGATGAGTGGAGTTAATGTAGCCCTGGATTTGTTCCTTAGTTTAGCTTAACCTTCCATTTAACACTGTGCAACTCTGACCCAGAGTTAGCCCTCCACTCATCAACCAATCCTAGCCCACTCAGTCATTTGGAACTATTGATCCTTCCCAGATTTTCAATCATTGGACATCACTACATCACTTTTGTTCTAGGCAAAATTGAAACCAATGTATTAGTATCTGTTTCCCCCCCACCCCCCCAAGAAAAAAATGAGAGAAAATATAATTCACATACTGAGAATCCAGCAGCAGGTTGTAGCATGATCATAAGAAGAATGTCAATGACACGCTGCCGCTGCCGTCCACCCAGCTCAGTCTGGAACTCTGACTCCTCAAATGCCAGTGACAGGACATTGAGGAATGCCAGTGTGTCAAAGTGTAACAATGTCCTGTCCAAACAACACCAAATGCAATCAGTATACTCAAGTTCACCTTGGATAACTAACCAAATGGTACCAGTAGGCCTTCCAATATGCAGGGTGGACCAGAAAAAAGCTCCTCGGTTGCCCCCTGTTGTTGGCCACTGCACCCTGCATATGTGGATGTCACTGCCAAATTGCCTTCATGAAAAACTGGATGGTGATGCCTTCCCATCTGAGACATATGGTAGGCTTGAGATATTCTAGGTCCCTGATCCTGTGATGCCAATAGACTCTTCATTGCAATTCCCACCAGACAACATGGTAGACACACATTCTTCTCAATGAAGTCTGTGTCCTGTTGAACTGTACAGATCCGTAAGAGGGTATAATGCTGATAATGTTATTATTCTCTTAAGCAAATTGAGAAAATGAAAAATTCCAGAATGACAGTCCACTCTCTCACAGATCTGTAGCAAATGTGCTGTTCCTCAAGATACTGGACTTCACTGAGCTGGAAATGTGGTTCCTGCATAGTTTGGACTGTGATAAATTATGCATACTGGACAGAATTGCAAAGAGTCTTTCATTGTTTCAGGATCAGGAACTTTGAACATCTCACCGGGCATCATATTTCACAAATGTGAAAGCATAACCATCTAGTTTTTCATGTAGACGATTCAGCAATGACATCCACATTTGCAGGGCATGGTGGACAACCATGTGGGGCAAATGGAGCAACTTCTTTGTTAAGTGAACTGATAAATTTGGGTTTTCATGTTATTGGTGAATTCCTCTACATGATATTCACCCTCAATAATATTAATACCAAATAAATGTCTCATTTTTTCTGGTTCACCCTGTATTGTCTTCCAGTCTTATAGGATTTGCTAGGGAATGAAATTTCCCATACAGAAATATCATATATGGTTGGATCACATGATCCATGTAAGGATTATTAATATATTAAAAATACCAGGGCATCATATACGTTCTGCATAAAAGAATTATACAATTTGAGGGATGGACTCCTGCATATATGATGCCTCTTTATCTCACACATCACAGCACTACCATGCTGAAGGGGATAGTTCTTTGACCAAAGTAATAGCTGGCAGAAAATGTTTTGAATAAGTACCAAATGGACTGCTAAAACAAAACTAATTGCTGCATTCATTTGACACACCCTTGTGTGTAGGAATTTTTGGAAAAGGGGTCAAAAACCCTGCATCATATGGACATCCATACTTAGAGAATCCATGTTAATTATTTTTCTAATGGAAGCAAAGGCATTTAGCATACAGCTGTGGAACGAAGGCAAAGGAACTTAGGCTTCTCTGACAACAACTGACTCAGAAGTGCACAAGTTTTTTTTATTATATTAAGCAACATAGACAAACTGCAGATTATGTACAGGGTCATCAGAAAAAGATGCTCCAGTTTTCATCACTTATATTTCCTGAACTACATTGCCAACAACCTCATATGTGGTATCATTCGACATGTCAGGCTTGGGAGTTTTGTATTGTACTATGCAGTCCTAGTGCTAAATTCAAGAAACAGTAGCAAACAAGCTAGCATATATCACAGAGCAGCGGGTGTTTATGGTGAAGATTTTTTATCAAACTAGCAGTGTTATTAAAGTGCAGTGTGGTTTTCAATGTGAATTTTGATGTAGGGACACTCCAAGCACATCTGCAATAAACAGGCCAGTAGCAAAATGTGTAAATACTGGTAATGTGAAGGACAATAAGAAGGGATATCACTGTTGCTTCAGATGTGGATGTTCAAGGACACCATGCTCTTCTGAACTTAATACCTGTGATTACTTTTTATTATGACTTCTAAAGGTTAATGTCTACAGGAATAACTCACTCAAGGTGGAAATCAGAACTGTCATGGAAAGAATCAATCAGCAAACATTATTCGTGATTATCGTTGACCTCGGTGAACACCTGCAGAGGATTATGCATGCTGGAGGCTCCCACATTCAAAACGTGTTTTCATAATTAAAAACTCCCAAACATCTTGTGTCTTGTAAGCTATAATTCCAGATTCTATGTGTATTATTTTAGAAAATACTCATGATGAAAACTAGAGCGTCTTTTTCTGATGACCCTGTAGATTCCTTGGGAACTTCAAAGAAACTAAAGCACATATTATGCAGGTGGAGGTAAATTTCATTAAATAAAATAAGCAGTCTCAAAATGCAAGCCTTTCTCTTTTTTCCATTGGTGCCTATTGTGTTGAGAAATTTGATCATGAATGCATGTTGTGGGAATATTGAAGGTTACTACAGTCAGACCTACCTGAGGTAGGGATAAGAGGATTCAGTCTCAGTAGCATTCTTTGAGTGAATGGAAGTGAGGCAGGAGAAGACCTGGTACTTGACTGTGGACACCTGGTCTGAGGGTATGTCCCCAAATGGATATGCCCGTCCTGCTAGGCAGCATGATAGATAAACCAGTAACTTGTTCCCTAGTCGGATCTGGTCTGTTGACAATGCCTGTTCTGTGCCACAAAGAAAGGCAATGATGTGAATATGCAGTGTCCAAGAAGGGAAAATCTATGGGTAATTTGCTTGCTATTGAATGAGATATAACTATTTTGAACACGTAGATAAGTGGTTGGCAACTGAATTTCACAGGGGTTGGATGGCAGAATGTTGCAAATTCTCAGGTCTACACTTGTCAAGTGCCATTAAAATTTTAATTTAAATGAATGTCTTATGTCAAAACATGGAGCTGAACTTCTATTGTCAGACTGTACTGTGCAATAGCCAGGCCTTTGCAGACCAGAGGGAGGGCTTCTGCATGCAAGATCAGGCCTGTAGGACCCTGTTGCCAACCACTGATATAAACTCTTTAAGCCTTGGGATGACCTTACATCTTTACTCTAAGGCCAATAATTCACTTCTCTGACCCAAGCTTAAAATAATACATATTCAAAGTACTTAAGAGCCTCTGTACTCAAGAATTACATGGTGTGCAATATCTTGGAGGGTTCCCCTGAGGAATGAGGATCAAGAAAATTAGATATACTGGAGCACATTGTTGCTATACTTAAACCTAGATGAGGGTCAAAGAAGTTCATTCTCAGCCACACTAAAGTAAAAAAAAAAGAAAGAAAAAAAGGAAAAATGTCAAATCTTTCCAAGGTTTTCACACAGTCAGACCACACACTCAAAAGAAACTGTTACTTTTGAGAAAATTGCTAAAAAGTTGCCCAGTCATTTTTTTGATACCCTGTACATATATTAGGATGTAAAATTATCAAATGAGCACTTTGACATCATTTATATGTTTCAGCTTTCAGAGTGAATTAAAAAGAATCAGAATCTCAAGATTCAAAGTTTAACCTTGAACATATAGCTGAATGACATGGAATTAAAAACTGTGATGGAACTGGATGTGACCAAAACTGAATGAGATTCACTTACTGGTGGTATATCGAAGTGAAAAATATCCCATGCATCCAAGACCACACAGGTCACAAGCAAGATGGCAGAGGCATCAGCCTCAAAACTGAAAGAGCAACAGTAAAGGGATGATGAAAAATACATACTGGCCTCCAGGGCATTGTAGAGAATGTTGATGAGGTCCTCAAATGGTGAAATGAAATCCAGCATTCCCCGGTTGTAGATTGAGAGCAGGGCATCATGCAGGTTGTGTGCCCAACATGTGCTTATCACCTGGTGCAGGTCCAGGCAAGAGATACTCAGGTGAAGTAAGCATGCTTCCAGGGCCTACACTCCCACAATACATAATAAAATAGCTACAATGAATAAATATTGAGAAATTCAATTTTAAAGTGAAATAATATAAAATGCCTTTTTTTTTAAATCTAGTTCTCTACAGCAACCGCAATAGCAGAATGTTTCAAAGATATCACATTTTTCAATGCAATCTGAGGAAAAAAGAAATACTTAATGAAATGTACAATTCAAGTTCCTCACAAAAACTTAAAGATAACGTTCCACTTCCACACTGAAATGGCTCATGAAACGCAAAACTGGCCTCAAATCGGTCTAATGTACACGTCACCTCTGAAATGGTTCGTAGAAGTCTGAATAGGCCTGCTATCATCCCAACGTTATACGTCCTCAACGAGATGTCTGGAAGACCACAAATCCACCCTTATAGGCCTATATGTCCCCGTGAGTCGAGAATTGAGTTCCTTTTGAAACGAAAAAGGTAGGCCTTGGCGTGACCTGAAGGCAGTCAGTTGGTTAGGCCTACGCCTAACGTTAGTGAGTCCCATAGAGAAGGGTGGGGGTTGAAGAAAGAGAAAATAATTTTAAAATAGTTTTCACTCTACTCCATAACTGGGGGGCCTGCCCAATTAGCAAGGCATGGCTAGAACACAGACCATAAAGACGAGAGTGAAAAAAAGGTTCACCTCAAAACGTTTTTTCTGCTCAAAATGGGAGACAAGATCCTGTGTGATTTGTGGTGGGATCACTTTGAGCTGGTCATTGAGGATGTATGGCTCCAAGGCATCCAGGTAAATATCTTTGGCCATGGTGTCCACATTCACTGCATCATACATCTTCCCAAACAGCATATCTCTGAAGGAATGCACAAAAGTGGTCCCAAGCAAGCAATGAGCCTGGGGAATTGCAGATGCAAAGAAATAGGCCTAACAGAAAATATGGAATATGGAATAGGGTATTACCTCTGATCAATATGGAGACAGTACTCAGTGCAGGCAGGAACAACATCCAGGTAGAGATTTGTTAGGTTTTTTCCATTCTTCTGTTTCATGGACTGGTTAAGCAATGTGTCATTGAGGTACTGGTCCAGAATCCCAAGCATCTGCAAAATGAAATTATAATCACATGAAACATGCCAAAAATGCAATGTGACCTCTGTGCTTTGTAAACCCATTACTGCATGACTTATGAAAGCCTTGGATAAATAATTTAAATTTCTTGCACATTTTCTTAAAAGCACCTAAGAATGATATTTTCTTTAAATTTGCCAAAACAAGGTAATTTCATTGTTATTTTGGGTTTCTGCAAAAAATGTGAGAAATAGATAACAGAACCTGCAATAGATTAAATTATTGAGGTCAGACAAAGATGTAAAATAAAATTAAGATGAAATATACATTTAAAAATTTTAAAGACATGAGGTAAAGTAGTCTTTAGAATTACAAAATAACACTGAAATAAGGCCAAATAACTTTACTTTAGTATAGTATTGAATAAGTATTCTCAAAAGTTTTCCACATGGTAACAAGCATGCATTTACAAAGTATTTCTGTTCTTAATAGGTAACATTATAAATATTTCAGGAATCCCCCATTTGCCAAACAGTGAATCTTCAGTCATTTATTATAAAATTATTCAAGCATGTTCTTAATTGGGAACACAACAGTGAAAAGTTCCACATTGAATTCATTCTCCCAACAGTATGAAAAAAATTTTTTTTTAAAGTTAAATGGATGGCCAACAGAGCTTTGCAAGAGACCTCAATGAGCTGCATTTACAACCCTAAACTAATAAAACATTTTTCTTTTGGTCAGAAATAAAATGAAATTGAATTTCAGAGAATGTATATCAACCAGAATATTATTCAAAAGCTCCCCTGTTTCACCTAATGTGCATCTCAAACAGCAACATCAAACAGTTTATAATCCAGTCCAAAGAGACACTTAAACCAGAATGAAACCAAATGAAGTATACAATGGAGTATCAAAAGTCTCTAGGAGTATATGAAAGGAGTGCCTTAGTGATGACGACAGTCCGTCTCTTGTCCTTCCTGGCAGGGAGGCCAACAATGGCCTTGGCTTTGTCTTCCAGGAGGTCAATCCCAAAAGAAAGGGCATCCTTGTAGCGACCCTGTCTCACAAAATAATCCATACGCTCAGACCAACTACGAACAACCAGCACATGCAGCGCCTGTGTGCCTAGCAAGAGGATCTGCATCCCTGATGTGCAGAGACTGTTGTAGCAGGCATGTTCTGCAAGCACTGCCTATTACAAGACAAACAGAAAAATTCTCAAATGTTTCTCCTGTCCATGAACAACTGTTGAAAGCTATCAATTCCTTTTTTTGAATGAAGTGGCTTAGAAATTTCTAAAAGAATTTCTTTTCCTGTATTCTTCAGCCAAACAACATGACACTCCAATGATTTTGTTTCACAAATTTTCACATTTGTTCAATGCAATTCATATCCATTTGTACAGGATTAGCAAACTATGACATGCTTTGGTAAACATAAGGTATGAACATTAGCCAAACCTGAAGAATACAAACCTGATAGAAATTAGTTTTTTTCTTCCTAATTTTAAGGTGGAATAAAATGGTCTCTGTGCATAAGTTCAGAGTTTCATAATATAAAAACTCAAGACAGGAGTCTCTTCAGTTTAATGCCTGACTTTTATTTTTTCATTTAATGAGGGAACTCTAATGATAAAACATCAAATGCATACCATGGCTCTGCTGACATTCCCACCAGTGGCAAGTCCTTTGAAGTGACTAGTTCCATAGACAAGTTCCACATTGGAGATATCACAGACTTCAAGCTCCTCTAGACTTCGTACATCAAGGATGTGCAGGAGCTCCAATGTATCAAGGGTGACAAGGGTGCGTGAATTCAACCACCGCACATCCATCACAGGATACTGAAGCTGCACTCTCTGCAGCAGTTGGAATGTGAGGATGTCTCGTGAGCACAGTGTCATCTGCATTAGAAAACACAATGATGCAATGACAAACAATGCCAGAGTGCCAATATTAGCACTTTTCACACTATTGGCCATGACCCCCAGGTGTTACACAAACTGACATGGAGATCTGGAAGATGCATCTAATCTCTCTTCCTTCACTGCTCCCACTGTGCCCCTAGCTAGCTTCGACCATACTTTATGAGGCCAGTCTGGACTAGTGCTAATCAAATCAATGTTAAAATAGCTACAGACATTTTCCCCACTATTTGGCTCAGTGCCAGTTCCCTAATTTGCATAGTTTGACCTTAAATGAGACATTTTTGTCTTGAGCCTTCCTCCCCCCCCCCCCCCCCCCCCCCCCCCGCCCCCCCCCCCCCCCCAACCCCCAAAAGAGACATTTTTTTTTTGAGCCTTCCCCCCCCCCCCCCCCCCCCAGGTTGGGATACACCTCACTGTGCAAAAACCTCTGGTAGATCATGTACAACACCATGGTGTTCCTTAGCTTCATGAGGACTCTTGCTTGTAAGAATTTCAGATGCTTATTGAATACTCCATGTGAATCATTGGAAAAATGAATAAAGCAATGATAGTGGTTCAACAGCTGCAAGCCTTAGTCACTTACCTGGAAGAAGTAAAGGGTGCTATTCCTGGCAAAGCAGAGCACAGGATCCACAACTCTGGAACTGTCAGCCATTTGAATCACAACAAACTGCCAGGACAATAAGGGGACATTTTTGGATTCTCCCCCAAGAGGATGAGCAAACAACACCTCCAGTTCTGGTCTGACAGCAACTACAATTGCCTAGAATTTGTTAAAGTTCAACTACATTTGCATTCAGGACTCAATACTCTCAAGAATAAGAGAGACAAGGAGGAGGTATTCATACTCGAGAAACAGTAGCCATGGCCAGAATGGACAGCTCTTGTCTGGGTGAAACACCAGAGTTGGATAAAAGTAATGGTTCAATTGCAATGACCTCTCCTCTTGCACCTGAGAAAAGACATCTGCTTTCGCATCCTCTTACTCCAAATTGACGCCGGAAATTCAGCTCAAATACAGAGCCCCCACTGTCACTGATGATGGCCAGGGTATGTAAATCTGTGAACTGCAAGCATGTTATTTATGAACAGATGCTCATTTCAAGTCATATCAAAAGTTGCAGATAGCTGTTACCTTGACATGCAGTACAGCTGTGGAGGGGGAATGGGCATCAGTGATGGTTCTCAAGATTTTCCCATTGGAGAGGTCATACATGGTCACCTGTCCTTTGGAAAAGCCAACCAGAAGTCTGGTGGCAAGATTCAACATTAGGATTGTCGTAACACATTGATGCATGAATGTGAAGTAATGTAGCAATGGTATAATCAGGCAATGCAATGCAAATTAAGTGCAGCAATCAAAATTTGCATTTTTATAAATAATACAAAACTGAGATTGGATTCCATATAATTCAAAAAGTGAGAGGGAAGGAAAAGAGACCAAGGGAAGGATACACTACAAGTAATGTAAGGCCACTCTGGAGCGGCCAGTTTCTTCAAGTCTCATATTCACCCTTCCATCCCCTTAATACTTGCAATCAAGGGCAGGACAGAACAGAACATGGATTGGGCATGATTATAAACAGCCTAACAAACTTCGGAGGTAATTTCTAGAGATCGACCGATTTATCGGTTACCGATATAAATCTGCCGATATGTGCATATCGGTGAGTATTCACATCGGCTCTTTCATGCATTCCGATTTTTGCCGGTATCAAGAATACAGCTCTGTATAATCGTCCAGGACAAGAAAATATGACATGGACCAACTCTTCCGCTCCCAACTGAAAACCTGGGTTTGAGTGATCTGGCCGATACGGCATCATCGAGAGGCGAGGAACTGCGACTCTTTGGCTCTGCTTCCGTTCTTGTTTTCGTACATAGAAGTTAGGCGTATTCACGGCTACGGGAAATTCAACGGCTAAAACGACAGACCTTCGCCCTAAGAGTTAGGTTTGGCCTATGATGGTCCGAAAGTACGAGAGCTGTTCATTTAATTCGCGGACTCGGACACGCGGAAGGGGACTCCTACCCTTGCCTGACCCTGCCCGCGAATTAAATGAGCAGTCCTCGTACATAATTTTAGGCCTGCTGCCTTACGTTAACCCTGCTATTTAACCAGGATCTAAAACGTACCGTGAACGTAGGCCTAAGCTTCTCCTAATGACCCTCCCCTGTTCAACTACGATATTTCCAATGCTCGCGCAGTAAAACTTTAGACTGCAGGTTTTAAAATGTTTTGTTCTCTTGGCTTATTCTCACCCGATGGCATCTGATCTCCAACAAAAAAAAAAATAATTATACCAAGCAGTGGAGATACGTCCTTGAAATTTGGTTTCGGAACTCAGAGGGCAAGAGAAAAACTCAAGATTCAATATAGTGATATCACGAGGCGATTTCACCCATTTCGATATCACGTGTCAAGGTCGAGCGTTCCTTAATTTTAGGGTAGGCCTAACCCTCTTAAAGCTAAATCTTTTTGTATTTTTTTTTATTTTGTTTTTTGACTATCCTAGTTGCTTACCGTCTAGTACCTCACGTCAACATTGCCCACCACCTTTTTGCCTGTCCATGAAAGCATCCAGTTTCTTCTTAAAGATAGTCACAGATGGGACAGCCACTACTTCATCTAACGCATTCCACGTGTTCACCACCCTGCAAGTAAAGAATTCCTGTCTCGACCTGAGCCGCACCTGCAGTTTGCGCAACTTAAGTCGGTTACCTCTCGTTCTCTTGCTGCCATCAAACTGGAAAAACCTACGTTTGCCTCATCCAATTTAACATCGCCGAACGTGTCGAGAGACCTACCGTTGTTTCGACCGACGTGGAGAACTTTACACTTACTTTTATTAAACCTCATGAGCCATTTCTTGCTCCACTCGTCCAAAAGACTTAAATCTCGCTCGGCTCGAGCCCTATCCGCCTCCCCCCTTATGGTAAAACCTATCTTGGTGTCGTCGGCAAATTTACTTATCTTACCCCCTACGCCGAGATCCAAATCGTTTATGTAGACCAAAAACAGAAGCGGTCCAAGGACCGAGCCTTGAGGGACACCGCTTACGACTCCAACCTCCTTCGACGCTTCCCCAATTTACCATCACCCGTTGCTCTCGTCCTGCCAACCAACTACTGATCCACTCGCTCGTCCTACCCTGGATCCCGTGCGCTTCCAGTTTAACCCGCAACCTCTTGTGAGGAACAGTATCGAAAGCTTTCGCGAAATCTCTCCGACCTTATGAAGTCTGTTCTCTTCACAAATTTAATAGAACGAGAGATCCAATCTGCCAATTCAATCATATCAGTTGAAGTCGGAATTTTGTTGAAAAGCGATGTATTGTTACTTTCATAGCCACTGCGCTCGACATACGTGACAGTCGTGTATATGCTCTCTTCGTGCAGCAATACACGTATGTTCAGTCTGGGCTGCTAGCAAGTAGCTCCGTAAATTCCCCCGAAGTCCTTGACACTCAAATATATTTTTTGTCTCTGGTGGATATAAGTCTGGTGTCTGAGTGCTTTACCAAATTGAATGAATATAGCTCGACTGCTTGGTGTTACCTTATTTTGACGGTCACTGCTGAGAGATTAGCAGTACCATTTGTAGGTGACGGTGGTTTGAAACGACTGGCATTGGCACGAGCGGCCGAGCACGTGTCAGTTCAGGATTCCTGACATTTGTGAAGATTAAGAAAGCAAGCCAACCGTCGAAACAGGCGAGACATCGGAGCGTGATAAAGATGATAAATTAATTTTAAATAAGTCAGATTTCGTGGAAAGGGATGGCGGGATACAGAACACCATTTTCACGCGGACATTACGAAAAGAAGGAATAAAAAAAAAAACTGGTTTGTCACCTGCCAAAACGCATTTATTTCCTCCTCTCACGGGTGTACGTTCCATTACTCATCAATCAAGCGACCCATCAGGTATCCGCAAATTTTTACTTGGGAAAGAGCATCGGAGTGAACCATTCTCTTTCGCGACGCTGACATCGATACTAACAGGTCAGTCTCAGTCGTCGAGAAAAAGTGACCCAGCACCCTTTCTAAAAATTTTACCTGTCGCTTACCCAGTTCGTTAAGTAACCAGTTCCAGTGTCACAGACACAGTTCTCTGTTCTTCGTGAGAAATAATAAAATGGGAAAAAATTGGACTGGAGACGGGGAAAGGGAGAGGGGAGAAATGGGGCAGGACAGGGACAGAACGAGCGGAATGGCGATGTTCCTACTACCAAAATTCGAGGAAATTCTTTCGAGTGGGTAAAAGTTCTAAGAAACTGTTCATTGTCATGGAAATGTTAGTCTGAGGTTATCGCCTGCCAAAGTGAGAAATGTCTCAAATCTATGGAATCATCACTGCAATCATAATCCATTTCTATATGATGCAAATGAGATATAAAAGGAAAGAAGGGAGGAAGATACGGAGATTTAAATGCAGCCTGCAAGCCAACCAAGTGGAAAGAAAGGCCCCATAGGTGATGTAGTATGTCTAGGTTCAAGACCTGCTTCCAATCCATCACCACTAGGACTGTAACAGTTGAGACTGGATGTTCAGCAGGCAGAAAAAGTGGCTTTCCTCTGATCCCAGGTGAAAAAAAACTAACAAGGTTTACCTTAATAAGATAGGGGAAGACATGACCTCCCTGCAAGGCGGTGGATAACAATGGATAAGCTTCTTAAGCTTATTCCTGAATCACAACCAAGGTATGCTCAAGAATTCCTCTTGAAGGATTTCATGCTGGTCAGTATCTTACAAGATTACAGTGCTTCCAGATTGACTTTAACCCCCCTACCCCCTCTCCATGGTGCTGTTGCCAGCAGTGACGTGAGACATCTTGTCTTTACTATCATTACTAATGACACATTATCTAGTTTGACAAGAAGCATAACAATACGAGGGGGCTTCAAAAAGTTCGTGGAAAATGTGTAGCTTGAAAAGAATATATGCGTGGATTTCAATCTCTTTGCACAAAAAGAAACTCTTACTAACGTGTAACATGCCTGAACAGGAGCCGACTTTAGGCATTAGGAAGGAGAAGACGTCAGTTTGATGAGAGCCCCCATTAGAGCAACATGAATTCTGCTAAAATCGAAGCAAGAACAAACATCAAATTCATGGTGAAGCTTGGGTGGAAGAATGGTGAAATCATTGATGCTTTAGGAAAAGTTTATGGGGGCAATGCCCCGAAGAAATCGGCAGTTTACAAATGGATAACTCGTTTTAAGAATGGACGCGATGATGCTGAAGATGACACTCGCAGTGGCAGACCATCCACTTCAGTTTGTGAGGAAAAAATTGATGCTGTTTGCGCCCTAATTGAAGACGACCGACGATTAACAGCAGAAGCAATAGCCAACACCCTAGACATCTCAGTTGGTTCAGCTTACACAATTCTGACTGAAAAATTGCAGTTGAGCAAACTTTCCGCTCGATGGGTCCCAAAACTGTTGCGCCCAGATCAGCTGCAGACAAGAGCAGATCTTTCAATGGAAATTTTAAACAAGTGGGATCAAGATCCTGAAGCATTTCTTCGAAGAATTGTAACAGGGGATGAAACATGGCTTTACCAGTATGATCCTGAAGACAAAGCACAATCAAAGCAATGGCTACCAAGAGGTGGAAGTGGTCCAGTCAAAGCAAAAGCGGACCGGTCAAGAGCAAAGGTCATGGCAACAATTTTTTGGGATTCTCAAGGCATTTTGCTTGTTGACTTTTTGGAGGGCCAAAGAACTATAACATCTGCTTATTATGAGAGTGTTTTGAGAAAGTTAGCCAAAGCTTTAGCAGAAAAACGCCCGGGAAAGCTTCACCAGAGAGTCCTTTTCCACCACGACAATGCTCCTGCTCATTCCTCTCATCAAACGAAGGCAGTTTTGCAAGAGTTTCAATGGGAAATCATTAGGCATCCACCATACAGTCCTGATTTGGCTCCTTCTTTTTGTTTCCTAATCTTAAAAAATCTTTAAAGGGCACCCATTTTTCTTCAGTTGATGATGCAAAAAAGACTGCATTGACATGGTTAAAGTCCCAGGACCCACAGTTCTTTCGGGATGGACTAAATGGCTGGTATCATCGCTTACAAAAGTGTCTTGAACTTGATGGAGCTTATGTTGAGAAATAAAGTTGATATCTTTCACTGTTATTTTTTAATGTCATTTTTCCACGAACTTTTTGAAGCCCCCGAGGTGTTAGATGGTTGTTGTAAGATCCGTTTTAAGTATGGCAGATGCAGTGCCTGCTTAATCTGAAAGTGAGGTTGGTATAATACAAAAATCTGAAACATAGAAGGAATTCATATCAACATGGGTCATCTGGCACCACTTGTCATTAAAAAACTAGTAACCATAGAGGTGCTTGCATAGACACAATTGAATGATGACTTCATTATGAGATCGGGACATTTTCAAGGATAGGGGTCATTTATGAGTGCAAGCAAAGCACAACTATATTGTTATTCTTGAACCATACCACACGATTTCTCTAACACATATATTTTTTGCAAATATGCAGGTTATGTGGGGATTCACCCATGTAAATGAAATCTGTTTCCTCTGTCACTTCCTTCATTTTATGTTTGACAATGTACCAATAACTGAAAATTGATTAATATCAATAATATCAGGATTTTTTACATCAGCCGTGGACAAACTATCATTGTCTTTTTATATAAAAAAAATTCTTTGTATTTTTATAGTAGGAAAAACTTTTCAATCACACTGTTTCTCTTTCACTGCTAGTTTTTTCTGGGAAGAATAAATCTCTTTTGAAACTTTCATTGTGACCTTGCATCTCTTTATTATGTCATCTACGGTCACCAGCTTAGAGTGAGTCACATCATTGAAGGGTCCTGTGACATCTTCCATGAGCCTGTAAGGAGTTTCAGTGAAGGTGACAACTCGATTAGGCCTCTATTGCTTGAAACAACAACTGCTGAAAGTGATAGAAGCACTATTTTGCTGAGTAACCAGTAGGGTCCATAGAAAAGTATGCAGCCCATGTTAATAGGGGTTAAAGTCATTCTGGAAACATTGTATTTCAAGAGACATTCCTTGACAAAGATATCAGGAAAATGAAGAAAAGTTACTCATCATCAGAGAGAATTTGAAATAAATGAAGCTAAGCTGATGAATCTTCAATACGCTTTTATGCTGAAATATCAGCAAATATTGTATTGGCTATTGGCTTCAAATATTGGCCAATATTGGAATCAATCAAATCCAGTATCAGTCGATCTCAAGTAATTTCTTTGCTGCACCATTCAACATTTGAAGTGGATCACTTGGGCAAGTCATGAGTTTATCGAGCTAGGGAAACTTATTGAGTTATTTACAAATATTTATTACAGAACATACTTTACAGATACAAACACAAAAGAATCACTTTTTTCAACTTCTGTCACTAAGGGACATCAAACCACTTGATTTTCTTGATTGCATAGTGTTTCAAGATATATTGAAATCTCAGTATCATGTTAGATCCCCTCTTGCCTGAATCACAGCAACACATCATCTTCTCATGCTGCTGATTACATTTTGGATAGTTTCCTGAAGACATCTCAACAACCACAGAGTCCATAAACGTCTTGAGCAGCACACTTCTTCAAGAGTGGGATGCTATATCTCAGGAAGTCACCCAAAACATAATCAGCAGCATGAGAAGATGATGTGATGCTGTGATTCAGGCAAGAGGAGGACTGACAAGGTACTGAGATTTAAATATATCTTGAAACTCTCTACTTAATGAAGAGAATCGAAGGGGTGGCTGATGTCCCTTAGTGACAGGAGTTGAAAAAAGTGATTCTTTCTCATTACCTAAAAGATTAAACTGAGTGATTCTTTTTGTGTTTGTATCTATAATAAATATTTGTAAATAACTCAATAAGTTTCCCTAGCATGATAAACTCATGACATACCCAAGTGATCCACTGCAAATGTTGAGCAGTGTACTTCCAGTCATCACTCCCTATTTACTCATGATCATTAAATTTGCCAATGCACTGAAGCACCACCCACGGTTCAGGTCAATGCCTTATGTTTGTAACCATAAAACAAACCATGACAACTCTATTCAAAATTGATCTTCCAACAATCATTTCATAACATGGCTCACAAGAGGAAGTTTTCATTTAATTTTGTGAGGTTCTTGCTGATAAAGACACTGATTAAAATTAGAACATTAGGCAAATCCATCTTAGAGTAAAGTTAAAGGCTTTATAAAATCCAAGAAATAAATAAATAATTTAAACATGAGCTTATATGGAATTCTATGGAATCTTTGAGCATTTTATTTATTTTTTTTCCAAAAGCTTTTTTTAAGTGCCATGATTCCCTTACAGAAAAATACAAAGCTTCTTTTTGTCCAATCTGTATAAAAGCATTGGAAATTCAAGATTCAAGATAGTTAGTGATATAAAGAGGTGATTTCACCCATTTTGATATCATGTGTTGAGGTCGAGTGTTCCTTGATTTTAGGGTAGGCCTAATCCTTTTAAAGATAAATATTTTTGTATTTTTTAAATTTATTTTGATTAAAATTTTTTGCATATCCTAGTTGCTTACTGTCTAGTTCCTAACGTCAACATTGCCCACCACCTTTTTGCCTGTCCATGAAAGCATCCAGTTTCTTCTTAAAGATAGTCACAGAAGGGACTGCCACTACTTCATCATCTAACACATTCCACGCGTTCACCACTCTGCAAGTAAAGAATTCCTGTCTTGACCTGCGGTTTGTGCAACTTAAGTTGGTTACCTCTTGTTCTCTTGCTGCCATCAAACTGGAAAAACATACCACACTCGACATTATCTATTCCTTTAATTATCTTGAAAGTCTGGATGAGATTGCCTCTCCTTAACCTTTGCTCGAGCGAGTACAGTCCCAACACTTCTAAATGCTTCTTGTATGAAAATCCTGACCTCCTTAATCATTCTTGTGGCCATCCTCTGTACTCCCTCGAGCACCAACAAATCACCCTTATTTGTAGGCCTCCAAAACTGGATGCAATATTCCAACAGGGGTCTTATGAAATGAATGGCCTTTCTGACAAGATGCTAAATCTGGCACCTCACCTACTGCAATCTTGATTAAAAGACATGCAAGAGACAGGTCCAAATTCATCTCTTGTCAATGCTGATCCCAGGGCCCATTTGAGTGCTTGTGATGAGTCAAAGACAAGGGTCATCCCATGTGAGGTCCCAATGGCCAAGAGTGCACTTACAGCAATAGCAGTGGGAGATCCAATATCTGCATTTGTCTGTGTGAATGTAGATGGAGAGCATTTTAGATAAAACAGATGCTAGGAATGTAATACTGAAATTCCTCAAGTTTGATTATCAAGGATATTGAAAATATCATAATAAAGATACAGAGTATACATAGAGTGACTATTGATAGCATTTTTTGCTGAATCTCAAGTAACCATTTATTTTATGTGTAGAGGCTATCAGTAGAACTTGGAATGATGTTGCATATTTCCTCCCATCCCTTTCTTGTGACTAAGAATCAATATCTCTGAGCCTTGCTTAGAGATATTGATTCTTAAAATCATTGATTCAAAAATCCAGAGCCCTGAGGAGCTTTTCCACTTCTTGAGAGTTATAACCAGGTGCACCATTTCTCAGAGATACATTACCTTTTTTTTTTGAAAAGAGTGAACTGAGAAAATTATTGCCATGTTAGAATATCTGTTTGTTTCACAACTGGAACACCCATCAAATTTTTTATTTAGTGGGAGTCAACTTACACTAGAGTTGAGGAATGAGGAAAGATGTAACATTGTTCTGAGGTCTACAGTTTGTTTATGCACACACAAAATGAATGCTTACTTCAGATTCAATCATGAAGGATAGTCTCACAGATAGCCAGTTGCTTGACACCCTGTATTTTAGGTTTGTGATAAGCTATAGAGCTCCTGCTAGCATGTTTCAAAGGAAGTCATATATAATGAAAACTCACTGCAGCAGAATTAAGCTGGGCAGAGACACCCTTGAGAATAACATGGCGCAGAATTCCAGTGTCTCTTCGAGCTGATCGTTCTTGTCGGGCACGCTGCAAAGATGCTGAGCATTTAGAACTGGATAAAGATCCCCTCATGCTTCCCAGAGAGGCCACAGATTGGGATTCAGGAGATTCTGGAGAGAACATTGCCTGCAAAAATATTACCAAAAGATTAGACCTAGATAAGATGCAAGCCTGATAGATACAACCCAAGTAGTTATATATGAACAATATTTTCTGCAAGAGGACTTTGATTCATGGAGAAGGCTTAGACCACACAAGGCCATCTGATGTCAGCCAACCTTTACTCAGGCCCATATCAGGCAGTTCTCACCTTTTGTTCCCCAACTGATGTCCCAGTTTCTTCACTGCTACCAAGACTGACCTCATCATCATCAGGTTCATTCAGGATCTCCTCCAAGGTGGGTATATCTTCACACTTGGGAATGGAGAACTCCATGTCATCTAGCTAAATTTGGAGAGAAAACTTGTTGGACTTATACAATATGCAATGTCTAGCCTGAGCTTATATGTCTAAGCCTGCCCTAGGCCCACCAGAACCTCTATTTCAATTGAATTCAGTGCTACTGTGACCAAAGCAGGTCTTAAATTTAGCTTCAGATGCTGCTTACTCCTGGCTCATTCAAGTTCTCTTGCGATGTCTTCTCAAGCCAGTTCCTGATGCAGTCAGAATTTGCTCTTTTAAGAAGATGGCATTCAAGAAGCAGGACTTATGGTCTCATTCAAGAGTGCACAGGTTAATTAAAATGAAAGTAACTGTAACATTAAGGCTGAACTAAATAGTGTGACTTGGATAGACCTTTTCCACATAACAAAATCAGAGGATGTCTGAACCAATACCATATGAACCAGGGGTTTTCAATGCCTGGAATGTAAGGAAATCCTTTTTTTTCTTCTTGACATGATAAAGCCAAGAGATTTGGCAACATAATTATGCATGTAATGGCACTGTTCCTCATGATCTGGACCTCCTATCAAAGAGGTAAATAATCACTGAAGTACAACTATAGCTCCTACCCCAATTAAGAGACAATTAGCATCTTCAGAGAAATGAAACTTTACAAAAGAAACAAAACATGAACAATCCTGATATCTATCTGCATGTCCTAAACCAGGGCTCAGATTCCATAACCCACTTCCTAACATTCATATACCATGGGCATGGCTATCTAGAAAGTGGGCTGCTGCTATCAGACAAGAAAAAGACAAACATCTACAAGTCTGGTGGAAAATTTGTATTTTGTAATTGTTTTTGCGTTAAGGGCTAAGAGGATTTGGCAGCCTGTTAGGAGATATCAGAATCTCATTTGCTGAAAAATTTTTACTGAACTCAGCATGCAAAAGCTACTTATGTCAGTCAGTCAGCTACTCACAATCGTCTATATATAATAAAAGTATAATTTTTTTCTTTACTCAGCTACCCATTAGGTACTTCTTTACCAAGTTTAAACTTTCTAGTGCCCTCTGTTTCGTTGGATCAGAAAATTTGGGAAAATATGCCTTTTGCAATATGTGCCCTGAGCCATTTTAACTGAAAAGTACCTTTTTTTTTTTTTAAACTGAAATCCATCCTCAGTGAACTACATGCCCACAAAGTTTCAATATTATACATTTGCCCTAATTGCAGGTGAAAAAACATGTTTGGAATAGCCAACCCAGCCAAAAGCTATGCCCAGAGGGGATGCATCATGAAAACTGAATACTCCCTCAACTCAATAATATCATGTCACTTATACGTGTGGCAAGTTTCACCTTTCCATTTCTGTCCAATTCACAATGACAATTTTTTTTCTTCAAAACATCGCCCCTCAAAAAAATTCCCCCAGGGGATGTATCGAGACTTAACATTTTTATGTAACTCCTTGTCTCAGGTCTCAGTAGTCACATTCATGCAAAGTTTCAGCTTTCCATGTTCATCAGTTTAACTGATGCAAAATAATTAGTTGAAAACATCTCCCTTNATGTGTCAAATGCAGGCAGGGATTCGCACATTGATTCTGCTAACTCTACCTGGCGAGGATTGAGACAATTTGTTCTAAATCGTTCTAAATCTCAGGGACTAGGTAGGGTGAAACATTTTCTAGAAAATGTCGGCCCCAAAAAATATCCCCCCAGGGCATGGATCTAAAATTTTGAATTTTTCCTGAATTCATCGTCTCGGTAGACACGTCCATGCCAGGTTTCAGCTTTCCATGTCTCTCTGTTTTACTCAAGCAAAAATAATGTTATGGAGGGGGAATGAGTAACGGGACATGGAAGGCAAAAGAAGCCAAAAGAAAGCCAAGGAATGGCCGGGAATTGAACCCGGACCTCCTGATTGCCGGTCAGATGTGCTACCATTACACCACTGAACCCGGGACATCCAGTCAATCCTCTGGATGCCATCCTTATCCGTCACAATATATAAGAAATCTTTTCCCCTCAAAATGTGTACCCCCAGGGTATGTACCTCCGAAGTCAGATTTTTTCTGAACTCTGCATCCCAAAAGGTACATATGTACCAAGTTTCAGATTTCTAACCTTTCTAGAACATGGTTAGAATTAGCATCAGTCAGTCACGATACAAATAAAATTAAAATGGCAATGAGCAAAAAAACCATGAGAATTATGAACCATCTTCATTGTAGAGAATTAATAGCTTCAACATGACTTGAGGCATACTTATACAGTAGAAAAAATGTCATACACTGATTAGGAGCAGTTGTGGTGCTTGGTGGGGGGCATTATTAAGAATTTCTTGCCATGAATACATGACATCATACCAGCAATGCTCCCTATGATACATGCTTTTCTCTTTGCATAACATTCTCCCCATGATGCATCAACACAACTCCTAAAGTTCACTCAACTATGATACGTAGACTTTGTTCTAGAATGTAATACATCTGCTGGTCAATTTTATAATCATCTTGTATTTAATGGAATCCTTGAGCAAGTAAATGGACTAGTTTCAAAGGGTGACATCTACATCAATTACAGAACAACTTAAAATATTCAGGACTAATTAAGCCCATCCGGATGAGTAAGAAAGGAGTAAGAAAGAACTTATTGTGCTCAGTCATTTTATGAATCATAGATAAGTGATCATCAACTACCTACGTTTGACATATTCAAACTCTAAGTGCTCTTTCTTTCTGGTCTGCAAAAACAAAACTGAACATTGCTGTTTCTACAGAGATTTATGACTAAGTAGTCCATGATAATATTTATTATCCTTGATTGCAGACAGAAGAGACAAGTCATCAAATTTGAGAACACATGAGGAAAATCTCAGCATTTAGAGGATTATAAATCCCAGAAAAATGTCAATAAGTAAAATTTATCAAAATGATTTTTTCAGAGTTCCCTCTTTCAAAGAAAAACAATAAAATGAACACCAGGTAGGAACTTTATAAGTTACAGCTACCAATTTCGGATATTTTCCTAAATTGCACTCTTAACCCCAATTTATGTTAAAGTATGCCTTGAAAACTACTTTTTAAAAAAAAATTCAGATTTTGCTTTACAGTACCTCTATCCCACTATCCCTCAACATGATGGCACTGGATTGGGTAAATTGAGCTGAAGTGATCCTTGGGCATATTAAAGACTCAACAAAGCAAGCCATAAGACTTCCTAAGGATATGATTTGCTCACACATGCTACAATTGCTTCTCCAGGGGTATTTGACAGCCTGCTGCATGTCCATAGAGTGATGATGAGCAGTGAAGAAGGTGGTACGAATTTAAAGTGAAAAACTGAAATACAAAGTCTAAAACTCTGTAACACAGGAGTCAAGCTCTCCAATAACTGCACCCAAGCACCTGCTCCCAAAGGCTAACAAAACCTCAACTTGTCAGGGAAATCCCACAGCCTAACTTCAGGCTAATGAACTACTTCTCCAGTTGGATATGGCAAACCAATGTTAGGTTAAAAACTACCTGTGACAAGGGCTCGAATCCATTTGCCATAAGGTCTCCCTTCATTTTTGGCGAGGGTCCATCCTGTCTCATGGCATCTTCCAAGCTTCGATCGGGTGTACTTCTGCCACTCACGATACTCATGACGGTAGGATGTGAAACGACAGCGACTCAGGGCTACAAACTCCCCACCAAATGGCAGGCCTAACGTTGAACCTAAGTATCACATGGGAAAATAAAGTTTTCTCATTAACTCGGTTTCAGCTGCAACTGGCTCAAGGGGCAGGCATTGTTCTTCCAGGGGTGTCCCGTCTGCCTTCCCATTTACATTTCTCATTTGTTAGTACTCATCCCAGTTCAAATATTCAGACCATTCGTTTAAACGATATAATTTCCTAGTGAAATCCTAACTTTTGTCTAATATTGATAAGTTGGAAAGTTTGCTTAGTGCAGATGGATCCACGTTAATGATGACATCCTTGATCTCAAGAAGCACGGAGTACAAGTGGTCTCGTGGCACATGGAGGTTATAAGGTTATAATTCCCGGTTTTTAGTGTTAGGAGTTTGGGACCGATTCTTGTACGGTCATTTAATTAAAAGAACCGCAGGATATGAAAACGTGACACTTTTTTATTATCGAAGATTATCACATACACAGGTGACAGGTGCCCAAGTGAAGTGAAAATTTGTCCGACTCGATCGAGAAACACAAACGCTGAGAAATTGGGTTCTGATTTACGCCAAACCCTTGACTTCGTTGGAGTCCAGGAACCTAAGCTTCTCTTTCATTCAGTTTCTGCTGAATGCTTACGCTTCCATATACCTGATTACACTGAGTTCTGGGACATGAAAGTTACTGTACTTCATTTACTGATTTCTTCATCATTGCTTTTTTGTCCACGTACCCGGAGGTTATTCAGTCAAGCAGCAATTCTGGAAATCTATGAGAGAGAAATATGACTGGTCAATTTCAGTCACATTCTATACATGGACCTTTCATGAGATGATTGGCATTCTTTTGCATCTTCACATTCAACTGCAGGAAATAATTTTTTGTGATTTTTATCATGCAGGGCTCCCTTTTCTGCATGAGCGCATTTAATAACTTTTTTTATATACACCATTTCCATTGAGGACCAGTCTAAGGACTCAACAGGCTCTACAGTCTTCCTTTTTTTTTTCCTAAGGGATATACAAGTTGTTTGTGCCTATAGAAATGATGTCCTAACCACCCAATCCTAACAAGGTTGAGGTCTCTGCAAAAAAGGAGTACATCTGCTGAAAACACTTGGACGCTAATCTGTATAGGCTTTGCAACAATCATGGGAGGAAAAAATCAAGCCCAGCGAACAAAGGGTAATGTGAAGGTGAGCATAAGCCTAAGTTTATATCTGTTTGCTTAGAGTATAGCCCTGTAGCATATTAATTTTATGCCTACAGCATCTCAAGAAAACCCTTTGATGCATAATATTTGGGCTAGTTTAGCAATAGGTCTAGGTCTTAACAAAGCCTGCCGTGTCTACCCTAGACTCTGATCATTCAGGTTTTCTTGCCAGCTGTAGGTTTAGGCCCAGCCAACCATCATGTATATTTTCCCAGTCCTACATTCTATTCTTATTCCAATATGATGTCCTAGCCATCAAGTAGTGGGCGAAGTGCAGAACTATTGGGAGGTGTCACTGGTTTCATTGGGTTTGGTGCTGTATCCGATGGAGGATCTGGGACAACGGGAGAAGAATTGGAAGCCTCTGCCCCTTCAGAATTTCGACTTCTATCACGGAAACTTTGCAAGAGGGATGCTATTACAAAGTTGAAGGTGGGTCAGTTAAGAGCCAACTTGGAAAAGAAGCACTGGTGAATCTAATGCTGAAGGAAAGTAGGCTTAAACATATCTAGTTAGACCAAGTAACAAAAAAGTGAAAGAACTCTAGCATGCCAATTGGAAAATGAACTAACCACTCTAGCAATTTTTCATGTTGAATCTCAAAAAATTATATTCCTTGAAGGCCTTGCAAGAACTAGGCAAGTTAGTTGAGGAGAAGGATGAAGAAGAAGTTGAGATCTCTTTTCCATTGTGGCCACGCCATTATGCTCGTTTGGCTCTTGATTATGAGAAGAAAGTAAGGGAAGCCGTCCAGAATTGCCATCTAACTTTTGTGAAGAGACTTGGCAAAAAGGTGAAGACATCACTTTCACTAATGCCCATTTATATTATCAACAATATCATGGCTTTACAATGAGGAGAGAATGTGTTGCAGATTGCTCCTCACTTGAAGTCTCTCATGCCACCCTGGATCATCAGTATTGGTGACACTCATCCACCTGCTGCCTCTATCGCTTCACTTGCCTTTCAAGTAATCTTGCTTCTACTTATGCTGTGTTAAAAAGAAAATTTAATGGTTATTGGCTACTTGAGCCTTACTTTTTTCCTTTTAGACAGCTTTTCCACCTGGAAAGCAGTCAGAAGCTCTTGTATTCATGAGAAAGGAGTTATTTGGAACATTTGCTGATGTGCTTTTTGCACAGACACCTGATACCCTGTCTGAGCCAAAGTGAGTCCAAGGAAGGATTTGTTGTCTATGAATACTTAATATGGACTTCATGGAACACATCAGACCTGATGTCAGGATAAGAGTTAAACATTTGATGAATGGCACAATTCACATATGGCAAGAAGGGAAATGGTTTGACAGTTTTGTATTAGTTGGGATCTCAAATTTTACCAACCAGGACATGAACTAGGATCAAGAATGGTTGTGAAATATCAGGTCATCCCATAAGTAATGTTGTTTTTCTGGCATAGCCTTACTTTTGTTTTCTTTATACATGTATCTGCGAACATCCCATGCAATATTTCTATGCTAACTTGTGCAGGGGTTAGTCATCAATATACGTGCAGGTTTTCATGAGGTAACAGTGCTCCATTTTTCTTGGACACTAAAGACAAGATGGAGGTGTCAGAAGAACACATAAGGCATATAATGCTTTATGAATTTAAAAAAGGGAATAACGCAACTGCAGCCACAAAAAACATTCAAGATGTTTATGGCGAGGAAGCTCTGAATACAAGGAAATGCCAAAGGTGGTTCCAGAAATTCAGGTCTGGTGACTACAGCTTAACAGATGAAGCACGTTCAGGCCGACCTATTGAGTTTGATGATGAACTGCTGGTGGCTACACTTGATGAAGATCCTGCTGTAACTGTTGAAGAACTTGCTCAGAAGCTCAATTCCACCCATTCCACCGTTCACCGCCACTTGCGACGGCTAGGAAAAGTGTCAAAACTTGGAAAGTGGGTTCCACATGTGTTGTCACCAGACAATCTTAGGGATCGANGCAGGATCTTCATCAAGTGTAGCCACCAGCAGTTCATCATCAAACTCAATAGGTCGGCCTGAACGTGCTTCATCTGTTAAGCTGTAGTCACCAGACCTGAATTTCTGGAACCACCTTTGGCATTTCCTTGTATTCAGAGCTTCCTCGCCATAAACATCTTGAATGTTTTTTGTGGCTGCAGTTGCGTTATTCCCTTTTTTAAATTCATAAAGCATTATATGCCTTATGTGTTCTTCTGACACCTCCATCTTGTCTTTAGTGTCCAAGAAAAATGGAGCACTGTTACCTCATGAAAACCTGCACGTATATTGATGACTAACCCCTGCACAAGTTAGCATAGAAATATTGCATGGGATGTTCGCAGATACATGTATAAAGAAAACAAAAGTAAGGCTATGCCAGAAAAACGACATTACTTATGGGATGACCTGATATTAAGTACCAATAGCATTACTGCCAAAAAACCAAGAGCTGACAGTCCCTTTCAGGCCAAGAAGCATCCAGGATTTTGCAATTGGGATATTTAGCCACAACATTTGTTGACTAAGGGTGGAAGAGGTTGGAGCTACCCACATCTCACCTGGATGCTTTCCTATCAGCCAATTCCTGCCTGTGGGAGGAAGATACAGGCATGAAAACCAGAAAAAAATTAAAAGGAACCAGGGAGAATGTCCAATACAGAGAATAGAAGCTTGCTGTCTATATTTAGACTCTGGTCCACAGGTTGAGCTCCTCTGATAAATAGTGCTTTCATAGATCCAAAAAGAAAAGTCTCTGAAGGTGTGATTGTCTTCAGAAGAAAAAAAATGTTTCAAATAAAATTAAAACCAAAAATATTTTTTCTTCATTCTGCTGTAAGCATAACAATTAGCTAGGGGTATTCATTGTTCCTAGAGCAGAGGAGCACTCCTCAAAATTTCAGTAGGCTATATGAGTTTTGTTAAATTGATATACCAGGAGTGGGCAATATAAAAAAAAAGGTGTACTTAGGGATGGGGCGGTCAATTGACCATTATTGACCACTAATTTTTTTAATTCAGTGAATTAAGATATTTTTATAGAGCTCATAACTGTGGTCATTTATCCCCCAGCACTAAAACCAAAGAGCCAGTTCAATTTTTAAGATTTGTTCATGCAGCCTGCAAACACCTAGACTGCTGCACCTGTTGCATATGAAAACATTTTAGCAAATGCTCAAACTACCATGACTTTTCACCTGAGTGATGCAGAGTGTGTGTGCAGGCATAGCTTGCTGTTCAAAGTTTTATAGCCTCAAGGACTTTCAAAGTTAAGGTTCAAGATCTAAGTAACAGCTTTAGAGCTTTAGATTTGTGCAAGGTCAATCATGGTCCTGGCTAATAGTCTGCATCAGAGCATCAAATTATTCTCAAAGTCTGTGATCATGGGACAAGTACTTGGGTTATGCCTATGCCTATGCCTAAAAAAAATTAATCTAGCTATGAAACATGATTCATTACTGTTTACCATGGTGTCCGGTCAATTCCCTGAATGGTTATTTCCCTGATGGTCAATTCCCCAACAGGACAGTTCCCCAAATGACAAATTCCCTGAACAGTCAGTTCCCCGATCATGGTTTTCTGATCTCACGGTCACGGAAGGAGGGCTATTGACCGTATCCATCTCCTTCATGTCTAGGGGTCGATTTATAGTTCACGCCCTTGTTTGTCTCTGAAGAGGCACATCATTCACGATGTTTGCAATCACCTTGTAGGCTTGTAATTTTCCAGGTTCTGGAGCATGATGATGTTGCCCTCACCTGCTGACAACCTGCTCTCCTTCAGTTGTAGCTCTGAAATTGCAGTTTCCTTTGTATCTTCTATAGAGGCACTCCCAATACATCCTTCATCTGTCCTTGCTCATATTGTTGTGTGAGCAGATAGCCCTCAAGAACAAGAAGATTCTTGCCCTTTTCGCTCTTCACGAACTCCATTAATACACGAACTCTCACACTGTCCAAGAACTGACCACTTAATGATCTGATTCCTAAGCCACCCAACTTCTCCATATATAGTCCCATTTTAGATTTTGATAGACATCTTGTCGATTGTCTTATCTTTGGTGGCCAAGAGGATTATCTTACAACCGTTTCTGTTGCCTTTTTCATATTTTTCCCATTCCTGTGAGAATCTTTATCGACTATCTGACTAGCATTGTATCGGCAGTCATGTAAAGGAACAAAGTTTCCTTAGGTGGGAGGCGAAGAATTTAATGATTTCCTCCCCTCCAGGATTAGAGAAGATTAGCGACTTTCCCCTTTCCTTCCGTTTGCCAAGACCACCCTCCCTTTGGTTCTGACTTGGTTGGGGGTGGCCACATCTCCCCCCCTCCCTCATTCCCCCATGCATGATGTGCGAGACAGGAAACTTAAATGGGAACAAATCCATTTCCTTTGGGGAAATCCCAAACAGGGAACTGACCGTTTGGGGAGTTTGTCATTCGGGAAACTGTCCTTTTGGGGAATTGACTATCAGGGAAGTAACCATTCGGGGAACTGACAGGGAATCGTTTACCCTATAGATTGCATGAGTTGGAACATTAAATTTATCTTAGCAATGAGATGTTGACTGGTCAACATGGTCATTTATGATCATATAGTCATAAGGCCTAACCTCTTGTTGGGCTCATAATCATTATTTTCTGCAAATGGTCTAAAATGACCATGTTGACCAGTCAACTTCCCATCCCTAGTCTATCACTTGTGAGTCATGACTTATAATGGTGCAAAAACTATGAAGAAAAATAAATAAATAAATAAAAGTTAGTCCTATTTACCAAAATTGACCATAGTTGACCATATTGACTGGTCAATTGACATGTTTTTAATTGACTGGTCAATAACCCATCCCTAGGTGTACTGTACTAAACAATTCTGTGAATATGTCCTTTATGTGATGACTGAATATTTTCCATATACCTTATGCCCTTTAATTTTTGTTAACAGTACATCACCAGATGAGATGCAGAGTAAATATGACCAAGTAGTGACAGCTACCCTGCGTGCTGTCCATTTTGTTCTTGTCAACACAAAGCAAGAAGATGGTGCCAAGCTTTGTGAGCAATATCAAGTCTTGCTTCGAGATCCCAAGTTCTTCAAGTATGCCAAATCAAAAAACACACAGGTGAAGTCTCAATGGAGTGTTGGCTGTGCCTGATGCATTTCTCTTGATTTCCTTTATGGCAATATTTAGAGGAGGCCCTGGAATAGGATGCTTAGAGGATAGTGTTATTGATCAATATCCAATAGTTATTCATCTTAGGGATGTTATGGATGTCTCCAGAGTGCAGAGAAAATATATTATTTTTCTCTGCACTCTGGAGTATGATGGATACTGTCATCCAGGTGGTCAAGAGACACACATGTCAAGACAATACTCCCCTCCCCAGCAAGCCCTATGCTGAAATCTCTTTAAGAAATAAAGCTTGGGGCATATGGAATAGTGGTTTCAGCATTACAGGCTGCAGTTTAGCTGATGAAATTGAGAAACTGAAGCAGTGAACACCTGAAGGGTTTTCATTGGAGTGAGCATGGCCCTCATATGTTTTTTTAGATGAGTGCCTTTTGGATGCACATTGTGGGTGGGCTGTGCTCAAGTCAGCCTAGCTTGATGCATGAATATGAAGCTCAACTTTGCCCAGCTGTAGTGAATGCATTAGACTCAGATGATGCTCTTCTCAGCCCAGCTGCATGGGAAGCTCTTCTACATTTGAGCCGATCTCTTCATGTGAGCTTCTGGTTTTTCCCAGTCTAGGGTCATGTATACAGTACTCATGGAATTGCTCAATTGCCTGAAACACAATTTAGGACTTTTGGAAGTATGTGAATGTGAACAAGGCAGTTGTGCCCAGGCTTCTGGCACTGGTCTGCCGAGGTGGGAAGGGAAATGCAGCTGTCATTTATCCTGCCATTCTGCCTTTGCTTGGCAGTTTAGAGCAACATGGTGTGAAGGATCCCAAGGCTTTCTATGGCAGATTACTTGATGCTCTCAAACAGGGGTAAGTTGTACTTGGATCTTAATTTCTGAACAAAAAACTTGGGAATCATTTTGAACTCATCACAGGGTCAAACTGGCAGTTTAATACTTGCTCTTATCTCTGCAGCTTCGACCAGCAATGCGTGAAGTTCAGTCAAGCTGAAACACGTGCTGTTGTCACATGTTTCTTTGAGGTGTTTACCTTCATCCTCAAGACCTATGGACAGGACACTGAACTTTGTTCATCTCTCCTTTGTAGTCATGTGAGTCTTTAGCTCATGGACATTATATGATCGGTAACCTTTATACTATGCTCTGTTATTGTTTTTTCACCTACATGTGAATTTGTTAGGAAATTAACAATTAGAGATGTATAAGGCTCCAGAGTTCTTTGAAGAGATGTCCATGTGCCAGTACCATTGCTGTTTATTGTGCACATTAAGGTAAATATTAAAATGTAATGGGACAGAGAGGGGTTTCTCTAATCAAGTTATTCAGATTTAATTCATAGAAATTTCCTCTGTGCTATTGCTTCACACCATTGCACAGTGGGCCAGTGATGCGCAAAAATCATTTTCGTCCGTGAAATGAAAGTCAGAGATAGTGACCGTCATTGATGGAAAACGATTGAAGAGGCAGTGACTTATTTCGGTGATATTTATTTTCATCACTAGATGGCACTCTAGTTGAGAAAATGTCTGCATACTTTTTGGATGGTCGATGTCACGTTTTAGTGAAGTCACAGGACAAGATGACTGAAGCTGCTGCTAAGTTGAAATTGGAAATATGAAATCATGAAAAGTGGTTACTATCATGATGATAAAACTTACTAACTTGCCACAGTTACCATACTATTATGATCCTTCCATTACTTGCAGGAAAAATAAGTTAGTCCTTAGCTTGAGTAAAACCTCTCATTTTTATGTCTGAAAAATTACTAAAGTTTAAATTGCAAAGTCATTCTGCAGTATTCTGTTTTCAAACTAGGGCTGTGCGTAATGCTTACGTACTGTCACTAGTGAGCAAGTAGGGTTTCTTGCAGATTGTTGCAGATTCTTCTGATATAAACGAAATTAATAAGCCTACTTATATGAGATTTTTAGATTCTCGCTCCCTCCCAAGGATCACTGCTACGGCAAGGCCTGGCAGCTTGTTAGAGTCTTTAAAAATTTGCTTGGAACAGCCTGAAAATCATTTGAATCTAGCTAAACATGTTCTGAAAGCAATATTTAAAAATTTCCTTTCACTATAAGATAATATCGCTAATGTTTGATTTTTGCGCATGTTCTCACCATTCTGGCCCACTGTGCATTGTGGAGAATCAGTGCTGAATCGTGAAAAGTTATGTATTAATGCAGGTGGAATCATCCAAAGTTCTGAAGTTCTTGAATGCCACTACAGAAGGTAATCATGAAATAGAAATAGAAGCTGCAGCAATGCTTGAGCTTCCTTTTCTATTGTGCAGTGAGGGTTTGTACTTGGTACTTTGTAGGTTTTGTATTTAAAATCAATAACAAATATTCTTGACTACCTTTTGACAACAGCATTCACACCTTCTTATTCACAGGTCACTGGGTTCAGCATGGATCACGCCTGACATGATTACCCCACAGAATAACATGGAATTATTATTTTACTGATCTCATAGGATGAAGTGCTTTGACCTCACTGTTTCTGTATCCTTGCTAAGAAAATAAGTATATTTTTATTTGCTAAGGCTCTCTGGACCTCTTTATGTGGACAGACCTTACTACAACTTAGTAGTCATTTAATCAAAAATGCAAATTTTGGATCCAAGTTTTCTTGTTGCCATTTTTGATGCTACACCATTGAGTACCACAATAATATTTTTCTGGAAAAAATCTCCTATGCTGCACTATTCCCTTACCAACTGACAACTTGGTATTAGGAGATACTCAACTGCTACTGCAACTTTGTCATTTTGTTGGAAATGCCAGTTTTTGGAGAAGTCTGGGATTGGTCCTGTTTCAAATGTTGCACCATGAAGTACCACCTTGATTTTCTTCTGGTAAAACCCTATTAGGCATCACTCTTTCTTCTTGACTTACAGTTTGGCATTTCATGGTGCTTGAATGGTACCACAACTTGTTGCTTTATTTCTAGGACAACACAGTCTATTGAAACAAATTTTAAGATCCTTGGATGACATGGTAAACTCAGTTTGAAAACCTTCAGAAAGTTATACATTGAATTGATGTGTGGCAGAGCCTTTTTATTAGCATAATTAATTAATTGCTATATTCAAATAATGTGCACTGTTAAAATGAAGTGAAATTTTAGTTGGGAAGTACACAATCAAAGAAATATTGATGTCAGCATAAATTGTTTAGATAGATGACTCACTTTCACACATGAAAAATTAAGTCCCTTGGTACACTGTTGTTTTGTAGAACATGATTATTTCTTCAATTGTGGAGATAAGTTATTTTCCAAAGCACTCAAATAAAAATATTTGTATACCAAGTGGGGCAACAAGAAAAAAGGTGCCCTGTTTGAAGTTTCATAAAATGTACCTAAAAAATACTGGATTTTTCTATTTTTATATCGTAGAAAGCACTCTAAAAATTTATTCACTGAAGCTTTAGCTTGTTTGGCTAAAGAGCAACAGTCATTGAAACTTTAAGAAAATTCTGTTTTTCCACATAATATCAGAAGCAGTGGACTTGGCAGTGCTCTACAGATGTGTCCCATTTGTTGTCAGAAGCCTACATTTTATGGCTGCATTCTTTTCCAATGCTCTTATCTATGCAGTGTCATCATGTTCTATCTTTCAAAGAAAAAGTCACTGTTTAAGGGGGTGTTATTAAGATAAGGACTGGAGAGCATAAAGACTCCACAGAACAGAGTCTACAAGTCTTCATAAGCAAAGAGTACTCTTGAAGACTTCCTCTCTAGTTGACATGGGTGATGAAAGAGGCTTAAAAGAGGCTTTGCATTCCCCCAATATGAAATTAAATAAGTTAACTCCATGTGAGGTTTTATTAGGGCTGCTCTGTAATAAGCATGTTAGTTAACCCTTCCCTATCCCTTTTATTTGTAACGCTATGCAGATTGTCAGAATAGGTCAGCCAGTTGACCGCAAAGGGTTAATGGATCACCATGGATAGTCGTGCCAAATACCTGTGACCTACTATGGATTTGATTTGTTCTGTATCTTTGACTTCATTTTCTGCTGACTGTTAGTATGTCCATATCATCCTGACCTTCATCTTGTTTTAAAAGAAATGTAGAAACTTGTCACCTTTGCTGGACTTGTAGGATTATGCAACACTGTAACAGTTTGGGTGGAATAGCTTTCCAGCAATTCTATTTCCCAGAATCCAGGTGTCACATTGGCACATAATGCAGTTTTCAATCTTTGCAAACTACCAAACTTGATTGAATTGTGTCAATTACAAAACATAGTTCAAACTGGTGCTTGATGTATATTCAAAAGAAATTAAACTTTAAATCTTCCTGTTTGGGGGGTAATGATGCTGAAATCTGATATTTTTTGGGTGTTCAAAGTTCAGTAATGTCAAGAGGCATTTCTGCCCACTAGAACATTAGTGTCAAGCTTCTCATATCCATATCGTAAGATAGACCTACCCCTCTTAAAGATAGATATTTTTGTGGGATCCACCTAATACTTAGCCACATCTACATTGCTCCCCTTTTTTATTTGTTCATGAAGACATCTAACCTCCTAAAGCTAGTCACAGAAGGGGCAGCCACTACATCTCACTTAATGCATTCCACACATTCACTTATCAACAAGGAATGAAGTTCTGTCACAACCTGCACCTCACTGGGGTTTACACAGCTCATGTTGGTTCTCTCTTATTCATTGAACTGGAAAGACCTATCACGCTCTGCATTAATGATTCACTTAATGATCTGGATGAGGTCTCCCCTCATTTACCTTCTCTCAAGTGAGTACAGTCCCAACACTTCTCATTTACAGGGTGTTCCGAAAGTTTTTGAACCACCCTCACAAGATGTGGCTAAATGCTATGTCAGCTACAGTGAAAACATTCTGCTTATCTACACGGGCTACAGGAAGATCCAGGCGATCTGCTCAGACCAAGAAAAGGCTGTGCTGATGCAGGACAGAGGCTTGCTTTGCATTCTGCGCCATTCAAGAGAACATGGTACATGTCTAGAAGAATTTAACAAGGAACTGTCCAGACCTCAGCATCCGGAACACCTGTGGCACAGGTTCCAGTAGAGTGCTCTGCTTCAGCCCCACCCCATAAATTGGGCATCAATCATTACTGGGGTTCTAAGCGGAGTGAGAATCAAACATGGCGAATGTCATCCATTTCTGGGTTGAGTGATTTAGGACACTGATCCGAGGTTTCTTTGAGATCCACGGAAATTATATCAGGTATTGATGTAGGAGTTGGTTGAATGGGTATTCTTGGCCATGTGGGATTCAATTAAATCAATATGTTCCCATCAATCTCATCTCCATCTTTATTTTAGTGCATCAGAAACTTTCGGAACACCCTGTATATTAGGGGTCCGATTGAATGTTGTCACTTGCCACTGGGATATTTTGATAAAAAGCCATGGGATTATTGTTAGCCTTGATGGCTAGCCATTCCTCAACTATGAGGTGGCGAGGAGCTAGTTATAGTGGCTGTCCCTTGTTTGTGAGCACATTCCCCCCAATCTACAGCCCTAAAAAAAGACTATATTTCCTTCATGATAACTACCCCAACTACTCTAGCTCCCTCCTTCAAGAAATGGACAGATCCCTAACCATCACACATTTTCAATGTTTTAGAGCCCTCCATGTGTTCAGAAACATCGCCCCTCCCTGTGCACTGGGAGGGACGGTGTTTCTGAACATCAATTATATATTGTCATTCAACCTGCCATTGACTCCTGACCTGGACCATATCATTCCACCCTTATCTAATCTCTTGGGATCATGCACGTCACCCTTAAATCTGACTCTACCTCACAATATGTTCTAATCACCTGATTGAGATGAGACCTAAGAAAAGAGTGATATAAAGAAAATATTTTTTAAAAATCCTGTAGGTTGAAGCCACACAGGATAAGATGAATTGGCATATACATGGGGATGTCTACAGCTAGCTATGGACACAAAGTGGCCAATGATGATTTTGACTTTTTTTCAGGTGATCCCTTGGATCAATGAATGCTTGACAGAGTCATCTCGGTCATTTCTCCTCCCACATTCCTGCCGCCCCTTATACCAACTTCTCCAAATGTGGTCCCAGGCTCAACATGAGACTTATCAGAAGATGTTCTGGAGGGAACTGGAACCCTCATTGAAGCAGGTCCTGAACCTGGGTATACCAACCCAAGTAAGGCTGCTAGCAGATCTCCTCAGTGGGGTCTCCCAACCAAAAACTACATTTGTTGTGACTTTGGGTGCTTCAGCAAGGAAACGTGGTGTCAAGTTCTGTGATCAGACTCAGGATTCTGGCAATACTGAGGTTTGGCTTGATTTTCATCATTTTGGAATTTTAAAAGTCAAAATGGGAAGAGACAATGGCTGGTATGTACCAGATACATTTAGCTTGAAATGAATGAAAGTGATGTTGGATTTCTGTGAGAATACATTTAATCACTTTACTGTCACACCTAAGAATCCACATGTGAATGTAGCTGTGCTGCCATGGCACACCCAGGAAGTCTTGTTTCAGTTTTGATTTATATTAATCTCAGAAACTTATTATATGCTCAACCGAGATAGAACTGTTCCCCTGATATTTTCACTTTCATTATGATTTAGTAAAAAAAAAAAAAGAAGAAGAAAGAGAATGAAGCTCAAAGCAGTGTCACAAAATATATTGGAGTTTCAAGGGCATAGGATGGATATTAACAGAAGAAATTTGCCAATTACTCATATTTAAATGAGGGCACATGAGTCAATCCAAATATGCTGGAGGAGTTTATTAATGAAACATGGAACAGGAACTCTTGAAGATGTTTAGAAAAGTTTAGCAATGTTTCAAGGTCATGTGGTGAGGTGACAAAAAACTTGCATACTGCACAAGGAATGGAGGAAGTAGGTGGCACCATTTATAATGCCAGTTTCATTTTATCCCCCCCCCCTCCTGCCCTTTTGCTATTGAGCCTTTGTTGATTGTATATGAAACCATGCTGAGATTATCATTCCAAGGGCAATTTTAACTAATTGTTTTTTGTTAGTGTCAAGTTTCATCAGCATAATTCAGCTCCTTCTTGGTGTTGCTTGTTGTACCTTGTATTTGTTGTGTGGAGCAAAAATACATAGAAGTCTTAAAAGTAGATTCAGAAAGGCTTGTTAGTTGTCAGGGATTTTATTGGAAGTGTCTGGAGGTGTGCTGGCATCATGGATTAGCAAACCTTGAACACATCTTTGAAAAACATGATATTTCATGCATTTCTTCAAGTGTGATTTACAATTTCCTATCTTTCTCTTTAAAATTGGTTAATTTTCTTGTAGTTTCTAACAGAAGAGACCTTAGTTTTCCTTTTCAACTTTTTTTTAAATATAAATTTATATAAGTTTTTTTTTTTTGGAAAAAAGTATTCTTGAGTCATATAGAACTAAAGTTTTATTGTGATTCAAAAAAAGTAAAAATCATACAGCATTACTTTTTCTTGAGATACCATGTATGTTCATCAAGAGAATAACATGGGTCTCTTGGGAAGCAAAAAAACACAATGTGAAAATATAAAAGCCCATGAAGACCATAAAAGGCCACTCATTGCCTTAAGTGAAGCTAAAGATTCAACCTTTTTTGTGATTTTTGCCAGGACCTGGCCATCTTGGTTTTGACTATCATCCTGCTGTTCAAATTTTTCACCTTTGAGTTGTTTATGCATCCCTACTATGAAGTTGTCCTAGTTTACTTGCATCATTATATATTATTGGAAGCTTAATTCAAGATAAGCCTGGGAAATGAGAGCCTGAAATAAATTAAAAAAAAAGAGTTCTAATGTAATTTCAGTACAATGACTAAAAGTTTCATTTTCCCATAATTTCAGGACCTCCAAGTCTTGCCAAAGCTTGAAGACCCTCACATGGAGGCATTGATGTTGCGTCTGCTGGAATTGGCCTACATTAGTGCCTCAGCTGATGACAAGTCCTTATCATCCTCCTCATCCCTCAGCTTCCTCCTTTCTGTGTATCCCTCTGTGGCATCATTTGTGACATTTGGCTCCCTCTATCCTTCAAGAAATTTGGTCCAAACTATCCTCCCTCTCATTTCTGAAGACAAGACTTGTATTTCTATCACCAGTCTCCTGCAATTTCTAGAATCAGTCCTCAAGCATATTCAGGAAGCTGAAGAAAGGAACCAGGTTTTCAGCATTCTTGCCATGGTATGGAAGAATTCACTCCTTGCATAAGTGAAAGGAATGCCAAGGAGCAGATATATTATTTATACATTTCAAACTGTTGCATTGATCATGTGCTGGTTTTTGACACCTATGCTTAGTCTCTCAAGTAGTCATATTGGTTTTCTTCAGCATGAGTGCTTTATAAAAACTTTGTTTTTGTAATTTTTTTTTCAAAGGATAAGGAAATTGCTTGCTGAAATAAGCTGAAAGAATAATATCCGTTATGGTTATCCTTGCCATAATTAAGAATGACAAACAAGACTAGACAAACTCTCTTTGACACAGTCAACTCCTCTTATTAGAATGCAACTGAGTGGAATACTCCACTTAATCTCTTAGCATTTACCCTGAGACAGTCTCAGGGTAAACAACCAATGACTTTTGACAAAAATATCTCCACTCAAAAAAAAGGAACAATTTTTTCAAAAGTTTCACTATGCATACATGAGTATGTCTCCAACCCATCCTCAAAATTTCATCAGAGTTTGTTGAGCTGAAGCAATACCATCAGCAGTTATTAAAAATTAGTTTGACATTGAGAATGAACAAGAGCTTCTGCTGGTAGCAGAGAGGAGAGCTGTTGAGCGCTTTTCTTCTAGTCATCGAGACATTGTCAAACTCCTTTCTGATTAATTCTTTTGGCCGGTTGTCTCTTGCAGATGAATTGATGAGTATCAATCCAGAGGTTTTTTTCTTCAAATTTCATTCAAAATTTCCCTGGTTTTTTGAAGCAACTATTCATTTTAAGTGTCAGACTTGTCAGAGAAAATTGTTCTTAAGTTTGATTTAAGTTAATGAATTTTGACAGCCTTCTTGACTTTCAAATGAGTTAAAATCATGGTACATTCTCAATAAATTTTGTGGGACATGATTGAAACTGTGATTGATACACTCGAAGTTGTTGGTCTTTACCCAGCAGACTCAAGCTGACAGTAATAAAGGGAAACTCTGAATGAACTTTGAGAAAACTCTGATCAATTCATTGATTAATCTGTTATTCATTGGGAATAAGCTCATGAAGGCATCTGCATGGGATGACCAGCCCAAATAAGTAATTTAAATGAAAGAGGAGTTTTACTTGGTCTTATGGCCAGGAAAGAGTGCATTCCAGTGTTCCCTCCACTCTGCAACCAACAGGAGCTCTTCTTGCTCAATGTTGAATTTATTTTCAATAATTATTGATGGCATTGCTTCAGCTCAACAAAATCTCATTAAATTTTGAAGCTACATTGGAAACATACTCATGTATGCATTTTTTAAGTTTTGCAAAAATTGATCCTTTATGAGCAGAGATGTTTTGATAAAAAGTTGTTGATCTTTTTCACCAGACCCTGTATAATATGTTCAATATATTTCCAGCTAAGTAAATAAACATTTTCCACTATGGTTATATAAGCATTGTGTACATGTGTGCCATGAATAACAACTTTGGTGAGAGGAAAATTTGCAAGACAAGAAAGACAAGGCAGGAGGAAGAAGGCATTGTTAGTGAAAACAGGAAAGTAAGAAAAATAGTGCTATGGAGGTCAATGGAATGTCATTGTAATGTCCCAATTTATTAACCATAAGATGCATTATGAAAAACAGGCATGAAGGAAGAAAATAATTAGAACAACCCAGAGACACAAAATTGGCAAGTGCACAAATAAATGACAAATTGACAAAAGTAGAATGAACAAATTGGAAGAAAATAACTGGATTGTAAGGAAATAAATTGCCAGAAGAAAAATATTTAAAAAATTGCAGTACAGTTGTTTTGGTTGTTGGAGACCCCTGGAGTGTTCTGATATGAAGAGTTGACTGTATTATAGACAACGAATGGATGTAGAACTAAATAAGGAAAATCATGTGATGAGAGCTTTCAGTGATACTTGCACAGGAGAGCCCAGCATGGCTGCTGGCATCTGTGATCCAGGAACAGGCCAAGTTCATTACAAGATTGCCTCACCTGTCACAATGGCTTCGATGTGATGCCCTTGGACAGCGGGTCCTTCACTTGGGGCAGGACCTGTTTGACACTCACCTTGCTGACAACAAGCAACCTCCTGATGACAAATGGAAGGTCATTCTCTCTGCTCTGGTCACAAACACTCATGGAGGTATTAGTTCTCTAGAATTTCCTTTTATCTGGAAATGCAAGTGCACATAAAGGCACTTTAAAAAATGGATGGAACAGTAATATATTGATATGGACATTTTATTTAAATGGATGAATATGAAGGGGAATGAGCATGAAGGAGTTGTTATTTTGAGCTATGAATAATTTTATGCATAATAAGTTGAGACTAGGCCTCTTAACTGATCTCATAATTTTTTTATTATATTTTATTTGTTCTTTTATGGATCTATAAGAGCTAGTAGATTTTACTGGTATGTGAAATGAAAGTGGTAAGAATTAGTCTAATTCTAAATTTTCTTGATGTTATTTCAGTTACTCTTATTTATATTCTAGATACATTGCTGCCACTGGAGACAGTTAAGAAACTTCTGGGTATCTTCCAAGCCTGCTTGGAGCAACTGGTCTCTACCAGCCCACTGGGTCAAACCGGATCAGCTCTGGAATTGATCTGTGATCTTGCAGAGTGCCTATTTCACATCACAGCCTGCTGGAGCTTCCCTGCAATGGAAAACCTCCTGCTGAACCTCTTCACCATTTCTACATCAACAGATCTGGTCAAGTTGGAATCTGCATGGCTGAATGGCATGAAGAAACTTGTTGCTGTTCGTGGAGGACTCCTAAATGAAGGTGGATTCATCTGTCAGAGCATGGATCTCATCAAAGCCAAATGCCACAACCCAACCACAAGTTTGGCCATGATGGATAAATTGACCAGTCTGGCTGAGAAGATGCTCTTTGCCATAGCAGAGAGTCTGCCCCAAGTGGATGTGGATGATACACAGCTGGCAGATGACACAAGCAATGTTGTACATCTACTCGTTGAACGTTTGCTTTCAGGGATTCCTTCTCTGGTGATCAGTCCTGACTTTTTCATCTCTGTGCTGCTTCAAGGCATAATCTTGCCTTCATCATCTGCTTTCATGGGAAAGGGTCATTACCCATCATATATCAAGCCCAATGCCTCCTATTTTATGGCCAAGATTCTCAAAAGTCTCTTTGCACCAAAGGAAGATTTTGGAAAGGCATTGATGGAGCTCAACCAGCTTCAAGAAAAGGAAAAACTCCTGGTTCATCTGTTGGATAGTCTTATGTATCTGCAGGCACTCCTGCAACTTCATTTAAACAAAAATGAGGTGAGACTGTCTTGTTATTCCTATTTTGAGACAGAATCATTGTCCACAAGTTATAACAGTATGTCCCAAAGACAGCACAAATTAAAGCTTTTTTTTCATGCTTATCTATGTCAATGGATCAAACTATATCACCATCCAAAAGCCACAAGACTTTTGAAGGGCAACATTGTTTGGTGGTATAATTATAACTAATTTCTAGCCTTTGGAAGCAGCAAGAAGGGGAATTTTCATTCCCCAAGGTAGCTTATTCTTCTTGCTCTGTGTAGCTAGTGCATGAGGCATGCTTTCTTTCTCCAGAATTCACCTCAGAATCCATTTGATACTACTTCTCAGTGAAGAACAATGAGCCCCATTAGGCACTAAAGGTACATAATCTTTGGTATCTGGCTTAACAATTGCAAAAGAAAAGTTGTTAGAATTGTTGAAAATTGTGTGAATATGAAAAATTGGACTAAATGGATTCCAAGGTGAATTCCATGGATTTTAAGCAGGCTGAGACGAACACACACAGACAAGAGCAAGTGTTCACAAATGGCTGAACACATAGTTGAAGGGTAATCTGTATCAGACATCCCTGAGGTCATTGCCATACCTTCCCACTTTCTGTCACTATATACCATTTTCACTGGATCTGGGAAATGTGAGGGCAACTTCTATGCTGTTATCAGTCCAGGATAAATACCATCTGCTACTAATCAGAATCAACCTGGACCTGCCATATGCAAGCCCAAGTCCCTAACCACTGAGCCATGTTGTTATGGTAAATTCCAGGGATATGATAGCATATTTAACAGTAGTTTTACAGATGAAAGAATAAGGTTATTGTGAGTATGAAAAGTTCTTGGATTCACCCCTTGAGCTGACAATTTCAAACCTAAAAAAAGTGCTGTGAGCAGGCCCTGCTCGACAGACATCCTCATTAAAGAGGGGGGCGGGGCTTAGTCATCACACCGTTGTGACGTCATCGCAGGAAGGGCTTTCCCGATAGATTGGACGCGATGGCGACATCCTCTTGACGCTATGCTAGGAATATCTTCATTTTTTTAATATGCCACTGCTCTCGCTTTCTTGCAGTTCTTGCAGCATTCTCCCTATTCAAATTCTTCATCCTGATGAAGGTCCTTGTCCGAATAAAGCAAAGAATGACTTCCTTGGACATTTCTGGGTACTTCTCCAATTCAGATGTTAAATCGTTGATCACGTTTTTCCCTCTCCGAATATCATCCCCATGGTGTGCCGAAAACTCCTGTTCCAAAATCGTGGCATTCCTAAGCCATGTTGGGGAGGGTTCCATCAGGCCACCACAACTGATTCTTTGAATCCAGGAATTACTTTCTGGGTCGTGAACTGGACAAGAGCCTAAACCTGGAACTTTCGCGGCAAGTTTGAATGCTACATATCCTGCCACATACTTGCACGCTTGATCCTCTTGTTTCAATTCCCCTATGGGATCTGGCAGGTCAGAAGCTGGTATACCTTCCCGAAAGGATTGCTCATTTTCTTCCGCCTTCAGGCATGTTTCTGGGTTATTCTGTTCTTCCACTGCATGCGAAGACAACTCGTCTGAGCGAATGTTAATCAGGAGACTTGCATCATCGCCTTGAACATTGCAATACCTTGGTAGATGCAGACTCTGGCCAGCGCTCAGAAGCAAGGACCTTATTCTGAATTTGGCTGATATGGGTGTGGGGCATGTATCAANGGCAGTTGGAGTCAGAGTGAGGGAGGATGGCAGTGAAGTTTCCTTTTATACACACCGTTGTGACGTCATTGGGAAGCCCCGCCCATTGCGCGCATTATTCATGAGCTTCGGTCGAGCAGGGCCTGGCTGTGAGGCTTTTTAGACAGCCAGCCTAGGGCTTGAAAAGCACCTAGAAGTCATTATTGGTGGCATGGAATGTTACAAGCAGGCTTCCATTCTGGGATGAATATGTAGATGCTGGGCTATACTGCCTAGGTAGATGCCAAGTCAAACTTGACCCCATTTGTGAGATGCAAGGTCAAAAAGATAAAATTAAAAAAAAACACAAAGAAAAGTTATGACTATGGATGAATTATTGACTGGTCAATTTTGTCTACTATGGTCAATAAGGCCAACTTTTATTTTTTATTTTTCCTGCTTTGTTTGTGCTCCATTTGTGTCATGACTTACTAGTGATAGACCAGGCATAAGAAGTTGATAGGGCCTTATATATGATCATAAATGACCATGTTGACCAGTCAACATCTCATCATTAAAGATAGACTTTACTGTACAGATTGCATGAGTTGGAACATTAAACAGTTATCAGTCTTGTTTCAGAGGTAAATTCTGTGGCTAGTTAGCTCCATAAGTACTTTGAGTAATGAGGAATGCAACACATAGTGTCCAGAACCAGAGTTTCTTGGTTTCTGGTATAAGTATTTATTCCTGTTCCTGTCAGAAAAAAAAAGCCTCTGCCTTGCTCAAGGAAGTTCTTCACAGCTAGATTAAGTTTTTTAGGCACAGACCTGGGCATGATCCAAGTTAGCTAACTTGTCCCTTGATCACAGACTCTGAGAATAATTTAATAATTTGATGTACATTGACCAAGACCATGGTAGACCTTGCATTAACTAAAATTCTAAAGCTGTAACTTAGATCTTGAACCCTAACTTTCAAAGTCATTAACCCTTTCATGGCATATGATCATTATAAGGATCATATCTTTTGAGACTGCTCTTGCGGTTATCATTGAACAAAGCTTGTTTTATTTGGTACGACATAATAGCTCTTGAAAAGGGCTCTTCGGTGATGCATAATTCATTCAAATAGGTTGTAGTTCAGGCAAGCTGGATCAAAAAGAAAAGTTGTTACCTGATATTTTTTATTTTTTTGTGAAATGGAATTTTGACCAATAAATAAATAATTTTTTTTTTTTTAAAGGGAAAAATATGCCTGCATGCTGCAGGAATGAATGGATATAATTGGGACAAAGGCCAAGATTTAGGGGCTCCCCTTGTGTGAACATTGGCCTGTCATTAAACATTTTTAGTTGATGATTCTTGTAATTTAAAAATTCAGTTTTGTAATATATGAGTAAATATTTGGAATTTTTGGTGAGCTCTGTCTTTAGCTAGGCCTGTTCAATAGAAAAAGCGGTGAAAGAATGTCCTAGTTATTCGTTTTCTTAATTCGGCCTTGAAAGGGTTAAGGCTGTAGGACCTTGAACAGCAGACTATGCCTGTAAACACACTTAAGCGAGAGGTCATAGTAGTTTTAACATTAGCTACAAGGGCCATTCCAAAAGTTCTTGAGACTAGTATTTTATTTTCAGCATACACAGTATTTCCAAAATGCTAATACTGCAGTCCTTCTAAGTGTTCACCCAGTGATTGCACACACCAACCCAAATGGTGAAGCCACTTCTAGAAGGCTTCAGCATATGCTTCTTTGGGTATCCTCTGCAGCTCTGAATTAGACAGATATTGTATGTGACTGAAATTTTGTCCAGCCAACTGTTCAACAAAATAAGGAAACAGCCAGAAGCCAGAATTCACATTGGGCTAGATCTGGGCTATAGCTTGTATAACCCAGATCTAGCCCAGCAACTTCTGGCTGTTTCCTTTTTGCAAATGTATTTTATTTTCTGAATTTCAACTAGCTTACATTCAGTGGCTTTCACCTCTGACCTAGGTTGACAGCTTCTCTATGATGAAGCTGAACTCTGGTTAGTTTTGAATGTTCTGGTATTGATATTGAGAGATAAGAAGCATCCTACATTCACCAAATTGTGAAGATTATGAACCCTTTGTCATTACTTTTGAAAATTGACCTTGAAGGATCACCATTAGAGGTCATTATATTGAGCAAAAGATGAATCTCTATTCATTATGGTTATTCACTTGAAAAATCAATGAGATTGGTTCATAAGTTTCCTCTCCATGGTGGCATCTATAATACCTACAATCTTAACCATTGGAGGCCTTTTTTTGTGGCATTTAGCCTTGTACTACTTCTTTATCCAATGACCTAGATCAACAAAATATATTGCAAACAAGGATGAACCTTCTTGGTGGTTTTTGGTGCCATTTCATTGAGATTGACAGGCTGGAAACACCAGTTCTTATGACTAAATGAGTATGATATGATTTTGACCTTTTTTTGATATTTGACCTTGAATGATTGTAATCAGAGTTTGTACACTTAAACATAATTGAACCTCCATATCTCAGGATTGTTCCATGAATAAATAAATCTGATGGGTTAATAACTTTTCTGTCCATGGTAAGGTGCAAAATATTTGCATTTTTTTTACTTTTTGACCTCATTTCATGAACAGGGTTAAGTTTTACTTGACATCCACACAGGCATTACAGCTCATGTATCCAATCCAGCATGGATACCTACTTATAACATTTCATGCCTCCATCAGCCACAATTACAGCCCTTTGCTGGTTGTATATTTAGAGGTGAGTTCATGATGGTCTATGTGATGTCAATTGTATCTCTGGTGCAGTTATAGCTTATGAAGAGAATATCTCATTCTTAAAAGAAAGAAGAAACTGAGGGCTCCCCCAAGCTTCTTGAGTGGATATAGTCTTTTATTTTATTTTATTTTCCTTGGAATTTGATATCCTATTATACAGGGTGGCCCAAAAATATGTACGATTTTGAAAAATCAAATTTTTGGTGGACAACTTCCTGAAGCAACTCAAGCTCTGCATCAATGTGGAGGTGGTCATTTTGAGCAAAAATGATGTTTATTTTGATGATGTGGGTTGTATAGATGTTTATTTAACCTATTGTTTATAAGAATGTTTGATATTTTGAATAAAGGATTTGATTTTTCAAAATTGTACGTATTTTTGGGCCACCCTGTATTTTCTGATTCTATTTGGTTGGAAAGCTCTCTTGTTTTCTTTCAATCAGTATGCAATTCATGAGCAAGGGACTTGACAGGGCAATCAAGGGAAGTTAGAAGGATCCATCCCATCTACCCCATCTTGACCACTCACTATTTTTTTGTGCTGCATGATTGATGATGTGAAGGTGAAGAAGGATGATTCAATGACCCTCTAAAAGTAGTCACCAGTCTTGATGCCTTTAGTTAGAAGTTGGGATAGTGAATATCACCAATGATTGAACCTGATTAATTGTGATTAGACAGCAAAGGACTGGGATGCTTATGGATGAACATAAACTTGTAATCTTTTATGCTTTAATTTTTCATTTTTAAGTATAAGCGTGTCTTGATATACACTTTGCAGAATGAGACAGTGAAACACCTGAGTGTGATGAGGCATGTGATTGGTAACTGCCTTGAGAATTTCCCCCTCTTTCCATCAACTCAAGATCTTATTCAAAGGTATGGACCTTGTCATAGTAAATGCCTCTCTCTCAGATATATCTATCAGATCAGTGCATGATGAGAGCTCTTTTTTTTTTGGCTTACATAGGGCCCTGAACAATGGTCCTTTGGAAGTGTTGTCCTTTCACTATGCCTGTTCCTTGAGAGGAGAAACAATAGACCTCCCTCTTGAACTCTCAAATCTGGAGCAGACCTCAACCATTAACCTTCTTCAGGTAGGCTTTCATGGAGCTCATTGCCCCTAGTGATGAATTGTTTCAGATACTCTTGCTAAGAAATAACTGTTTGAAGCTATTCTTTCCTGCAGACAAGTGTCAGCAAAGTAATTCTAAAGCCTGAAGTTAGTGTAAGGAGAATGGAGCTGGCAATCATAAATTACTACTATTGCAAAATTTTTGAAACAGTTCCAGTCTTTTCAAAGATGACTGGCTTTAGCTTAATTGCTTGACAAGTAGGATGACATAAGTTGCAATCTTACCTATTACTTCATTCTCAGATGCCAATAGGTGTTTTAATGTGGGGCTCATGCACTTAGAAATTGAGATATTTTTGGCCCAGACATGGCTTTAGACCCAGCATGTAGAATGCAGATCCAAGTTTCTTCAGATGTCTTGAGCAGTTTTTGAATGATAGATGAGGCTTCTGTGGGAAACACTGGCTATAGTCAGTGTGTTACACCAAAATGGCATATTATGATAATCAGCCAGCTAATGTCTTGGCAAAATTTGACTATAATCATATAATTACCCTTACTGATTCTCCGTGCCTCCCTAGCTGTCAGAAGCTCATGCAATTGAATAGACTTAATTTGTAGGCTTCAAGAAGAGGTTGTTTTTTTTTCCATTCTTCTCACATATGGCATTGTCTCTGCATCCCTTTCTTAGAAGAAAGTGGACTATTCAAGACACAAAAAAAGAAATATTATTGATATCTTCATTCTCACTGGACTATTTTCATGAAATTCGCACTGTGCATGAATGAATATGCTTTCAACAGATCTGCAATTTTTCATCCATGTCAGTTGTACTGAAACAAGGCCATGAGCAATTATTCTAAAAGAGTTGCATATTGAAAATGGACTAGAGCACAAAGAGGAATGCTTTTGCACTTTCAATACATGCAATAATCTGGGCCACATTGAACTTCTCTTTCATTGGAATTCATTATTTGGGCTGCCCTTTTCTTGCAGATGGTTTTGATAATATTTTTCCCTCTCAATTACTGATTAATCACTACCAATTAATACAGAGAATTATGATGGAGAATGAAGCAGGCAGAGTCTAGTCACTCCAAAAGCACTGGAATTCCCTGTCCACTTTCTGTTTTCAGTTTCATTTGAATAATTGACCATAGTCTTGCTTTTACACAATCAATTTGAAGTAAATTTCAAAAACTGTTGGAAACACCATTGTATGCACAAATAAATTTTTATGATAATAGCTCCTTGGGGAATAGATATATAGGGTGTAGTTGGCTGGTATTTTGTTTTGCTATATCCAGTATATAAATTGGAATGTGTCATGAATTTAAATTTTAAGCATGTGTTACATTAACTCTTTGTGACATCATAACAGATTAACAGGTGTAAGGACTTGAGATTTTGTCATGTTCTCACATCAGCTCCTCAATGAAAGCTTTTTTAAATAAGTGTTGCAGAAATCCTGGAATCAAATGTCTATATAAGGAAACATAAGACATTAAAGGTACATATAAATTTTCTTGCACTTCAAATTTGTTAAAGATATAATATTTGCAGTACATCTTACTCATTTCATTTAGAATTGTATTGATTATCCTGATATGGTTGAAAATAATGTTCATATTGGGGATATCTCTAAATATCACAAAGTTCTTGTTCAGCTTGTTACAGCCCCTTCCTTGAATACTTTAGTATGCATACATGGCAGATATAGAAAGAACAGGCTGCATATGTAAGCTTTCATCACCTAATGTGACTCCTCAATGTTACTAGTCCAATGTAGGGAGGGTTAAAGAGGCAAAACCTTTACCAGTGAGATTTAGTTCCAGTGTGACATCCCTGAACCATTAGACCTGTGGAACAACAGGAGATATTAGGCAGCACCCTGTCATACTCCTCCAAGCTGCTAGTGTGAAACTTGGGTGAGGCAGAGAGAAGATTGTACTTCCTTTGTGGACTTCCACATAAAAGTTGTGTGATTTCAAAAAGTAGTATTTCTTGAACTATTTAAGAAATATAGAAAGTGTGCCATACAGGAATAGCAACTAGCATCATGGTTTTGGAACAAAAAATATTTAATCCACTTTCTAAAAACAAAGGAATCAGCAGTGATGCCTCCATAATATCATGAAACCATTATCAAAGTATAGCAGGTGGTATTGTGAAATGATTTCTATTTTTGAATAATGAAATGAAAAATATAACTAGAATGAAGAATAACAATGGATCATGCTGATAAATGGCAATAAGATGAAAAGGAGATGTCCCAGCACTACCCTGGATTAAAAACAGAATTTCCTCTCCGAATCAACCATAATTTGATGGGCCATGAAAGGCCCATGGAGAGTGATTTTGATGAAAAACAAAGGCACCCAGAGAAGTATTGTTTATCAAAATTGATTGAAATGAATTAAGTGCAAGTATACTGGATATTGATACTCTAATTAAATACATATTTCAAATTGTGAAAAATAGAAAAATATGGCTTTTATATTGATAGTAACATGCATATCACAAAGCTATAACCACCATTTGCAGAAACCAGCAAAATATAAACCTTAAATGGAAACATTGTCCCTGAAAGGATTCCTTATTCGAGAAATAATGAAAGAGGATGAGTCAAGTATGATGCCATGTGCATGGAACCATGGTCATTATGCTGCCTGAACATGCAAGATGTCCACATCTGTGGACAAGTTAAGGAGCTATTTTAGCTAATAAAATGCCAATTAGGATCTTGTGGTGGCTCCAGAGGTAAATATGTTCCCTCAGAGTTGCATTCGAATGTTTAAAATCCAAAAATCTTACTATGCAAGCTAAATGAAACGATGACAGATACTCCCCCCCATGGTCACTAGAGGATGTCATATTGGAAGAAAATGTAGAGGGCAGGAATGGCAGGGCATATTGCCTCTGGTTTTGTTCTGATAGTTGTGATATCTGCAAATATGTATATGATAATCTGCTGCAAGCAGTGAAGAATGGGGGCTGTAAAATTAAATTTTTTTGTGTCCATAAACATGGATGTGATGTAGCAAAGGTTAATATTTAATGCCAGACCAACTGAGTTGTTTTGTCATACCACTAAATGCTTGATGCTATTGCCATGCATTTCCAGTCATTTATCTAATGGAATGTGTGATGTTTGCCCAGGATGGATATTAAAAAAATAGCATTGCTTCCTTATTCAAATATTAAGTTACCAATTCCATCTCCATCGGAAACTTTTTCTTAGGTTCAAATGGAATTTTTAATTTGTCTTCTGCTAGTACTGTGCCTTGTCAGAGCCAGTTTCCCGGGTGATCCTCCTGACCACACACCTGCAAATGCAGTGCACTGATGGCTCCAGTAATCTTCATCAGGCAGCACTGGCACTTCGAGCATTGAGCACCATAATTGAGAAGGGCTGCTGCAGTGAGGATCTGAGAGACTCTGGGGTCATCCTGGAAGTCCTTGGGGTCCTCAGTCTCTGGAGGGAGAATAAGGATCCTCACTTCCTCTTTGACAGGTTACATGCTTCCTATCCTTAATACAGGGCATACCTAAAGTGATACTTTATATACCATTTTCTCTTATGAGGCCAACTCTCAAACTTTGGGGCCATCATCCATATGTGCTGAAGGAACATATTCAATTTAGTCATTTTTATTCCAAAATTAACTATTTTAAAACTATTCCTTCACACCTGAACAGTATGTTACATCACAGGTGCTAAGTTATGAGAAGACACTGTTGATTTCAAGGAGAACTTTGCCAGCACCTCAGAGAACATGATTAAAAGGAGACTGGTCACAATTTGTTGTATTACAAGCTGGACTGCACTGCTATAATAAACTTCCCTGGTTACTGTGAAATCATCAAGCAGAAAGTATTTCATCTACACTGGTGGACAAAATTAAGGTAACTGTTTTTCATCAATATTTAAATTACAATGGTAAATGAGAAGGGGAAAATATGTTACTATATGTAATTTTACATGCACATTCTGAATATCCAATTGAAATTAATCTATGTGCTTTGCAATATGCAAATTAGTGAAGCCTATAAAAAGGCAGTGGCTATTGACTTCTTCTAAGCATGTCTGTTGGAATGTGTAATTTTTCATCTCTTTATAAAATTATCCTAACTCTGTTATTACTGGTCCAAAGTTTCTCCTTTTTTATGCACTTATCAGTAATGATGAATTGTATCTCTGTACAAATTTGATTAGTAATGATGAATTGTATCTCTGTACAAATTTGATTAGTAATGATGAATTGTATCGCTGTACAAATTTGATTAGTAATGATGAATTGTATCTCTGTACATTTCTAGAATTTTGATTGGAAGTAGCCAAATGACAACTTTTTGAATGCTCCTTGTATTAGGTTGTTGCAAAAGTCCTGTCGGTGTTGAATGTAACATGTTCTAATAAGACTTCCAGGCTTTGACAATTCCTGGTGAGTGGGTGGTAGGTATGGGTATATAAGGACAGTCTGTTGTATCTCACTCATCCCATCATCTCTCATGGCCTCTGAGAAATTCACGCCAACGCAGATCCATCTCCGTCACTGCATTCTCTTCCACTT